TGGTACAAAAAAAGAGCGGTTGAGCATTAAAGCACAAAGAACAATAACACTCACAAAGAAACGTGTACTTATATTACTAAGACCACTAGTATCTACTAAACAACGTGTTATTCCATTTGTCACAGAAGTTAAATACCTCAAAAAACGTATATAAAGCTACAATACTTAGCTCTCGTAAGCTGTAGAAGAATATGCGAAAAAACTTGGTCCTAAGCCTCAAAATGACCATATGGGTTATACACAAGGGTGATAAGACCCATGATAACCTATGGCGCAGTGGTGTGGGTAACCAAAACTGCGCAAGCAAGTGCATGTAATAAGCCAACATACCGGAATTCAATGGCTCGCCTTTCTGAATGCCACAACCCAGACAGCACACCAAATCCTTTGGATATCTACTGAACATCCCAATATCCACTGAATGTCCAGTCCATGGTAGATATCTATTTTATATCCATGAAATGTAATTTATAGACATGCAAATGTCCATAAATAATAGTAATTATATAGCAAATTATTAAAAAATTACGCCATTGTGATCGCCATTGTGGCTAATAGTACCGTTCAGATATTTAAAATTAATTTTTTAAGGTGTATTCAATATCCCATGAACATCCACTAAATATATCAAAGTCTAGGCGCGAACGCAAACCATCGTGGATATCCACTAGATGTTATTTGATTCTGCGTACTAAGTATAGATGGCGATACCACTATCGCATCTACTCATGCTCGACCCGCCGTAATTGAATCGAAATGTGTGTCCTAATCATTCCATTAGAGACTGGAGTCGAGAATTTTCATTTATTGCTGAAGAGTCCTACTAAGGATGGCTTTCTCCTTAGTGGGCAAAATCAAAGGCAGAGTGTTGAAAATATTTTTTATCTGCTATTTTCTTTCGACGTTATTCAATAATCATTGGTTACTTATGAACCTCTACTAAAGATACCCATAAAATATTTTGCTGAATATCCGAATATCTTCTATATCCTGGGATATAGACGGACATTTGGTTGGATATCCATATTGGATATATTGAATATCCACAAAATATATTCTGTGGATATCTCTGTGATTTCTTGTATTTTCTGGAAGATACCCATTAGATATTTTGCTGAATATCCATTAGGATATCTTCTATATCCTGGATGGATATAGACGGACATTTGGATATCCATATTAGATCCACGGAATATTTCTGATATCCTGTGGATATATTGGATATCCACAAAAGATATTCTGCGGATATCTCTGGGATTTGGTGTGTTGCCTGGGAAGGGCCATGCGACTACACCAACTACAGCAATGAAGGCACTGTTAAATCTAACACCACTGCACATCTTCATAGAAGGAGAATTCAGGTCCGTCATTCACAGGCTAATGCAGGGACAAAACCCAATAAGCCAACAACATATACAGAGTGTTTCCAAACTTGGCGTCCAAATTTGTAGGGGTGGTAGTTCTCATAATTTGAGAGCGATTGGCAGATTTCATTTTTCTAAAAAAATTATAATAAACAAAATAGAGCCATTATAAAAAAAATCAAAGAGCGAGTCCTACCCTGAGCGCGTAGCGCAATAGTTGCCTTGTCGGTTACTCATCGGGATTTACAACTCAAAAACAGATGCGATTTGCAATTTTGTCGATTCTAAGCGTAGCGCGCGCGAGTCGAGGCGTTCCATCGCAGTGCAGGACCGTACCTGTTCAAAATTTTTAATTAATTTTTAATTATTTTTATTTTAAATATTTTGGAAAAATGAAATCTGCGAAGCGGTCTCAAATTATGCGAACTACCACCCCTACAAATTTGGACGCCAAGTTCGGAAACACCCTGTATATCCGCTTGAGTTCACTTAGGGCAGATATCCCCAATAATTAGCAAATATGGACTTTCAACTAATTTCAAGCTCCATGTGTTGTCATAAAAGTCCATAGAATTATGACAAGAATACTATACAATTCATTAGAGTCTGTTGTCACTTGTGACTTAAGTGCACTCAGGGCGAATCTGGATGTTTATCTTGCTTTCCAGAAAATTTTGTATTTTGTGACATCCACCCTAAGTGAATTCAATCGAAGATATAACGTTGATCATACAAGGCTATTCGCTCCATGCGTGACAGTTAAGTAGCGCTAATTCATTTAGGTCACATACTTTGAAAATCAAAATATGTGATTTAGGTACAAATGGACTATTTCTGCATATAGCAACAATACAATTTTTAATAGAATTCGTAATTAAAAAGTATATATTTTAGTTTTAATAAAAGTATATGGATTTGTAAAACAAATAAAACATTAATTTATTATTATTATATATTTTTATCGCTTAAATTAAAAAAAATTAAGTGTAATCAATAAAAATCAATAATAAAATATAGGCAAGCAACAGTATTTACGGGAAAATAAATGTATGAGAAGTTGCCTAAGTCTAATAAGTTGTCTTTGAAGAATTAACATTCTGTCAAAATGAAAAAAATACCATTAAATAATAGCATGAAATTAAAATGTAGAAACAGAAGGATTATTATTTTTCATTTTTGTTCAAAAGAAAACAAAATGAATGATTAAAACTGGTTTCTTATCAGTAAGTCACAAAATTTCATTTCAGCCACATACAATAATCAAAGGCAGAAATCTTGAAATCTAGTCCTTGCTAAACATTTAAGAATAAAGGGATGTTGAAGAACATCGTAAAATGATAATGATAATTTATTGTTAAAATCTTTCAAGTTTCTGATGTCTACTATTTCCAGTATTACGGTTATTATTACAAATATGAAGGTAATTTTTCTTCTTAGTGTAGGTACACCTATCTATTTATTTCTTTGATTTAATTTCCACTTTTCTACTGAATAATTTTATAATTTTCACTGTTTTTTTTTTGTAGTATTTTTACAATTTTCAACACAGCAACTCCAGTTGCTTATTGTATTGTTTTTACCTACTTTAAAAAAAAAAAGTAAAATGTATACATGTATTTTATATGCCAAAATTACAAAATATCGCCTTAAAATGCATCAATTATCCGCAGCTAGCGCTAGTATCGCTTTTTTCCCCTACCATGACTTCGCACTGAGCGAATGATATCAAATAAAAAAAGAGAAGTGCTTACTGATATAGTTGAATCCGTAAATAGTTATTTACTGCCAAGAATGTGTAAAGAATGATGACAGAGTTGTCATATTATTATATGCAATTGCAACATTTTCCAGTCACTGAAAAAGTCTTCTTGACCCCGTAATTTTTTCGAACTTCGGCGCAATTAAATATGACAGCATTCTTCACCATGTCCTGAATAAAAGCCATAAACATGTAAATATATTCGAAAGCCACTGTCAAAGCTACTAAGTCTAATAAAAAGACCAAGCTAGACGACGGAGTCCCACAATACATCTGAAAAGGTCGTGGTGGACAAAGACAAATAATCTCCAACTCCTTTCGAAACTAATCTAATCTAAGTATACAAAAGTTTGGTGTCTAGGGGACCACAACCCCTAATAAAATTTCATGTTTCGTTATTTTTTCTTACAAAATTGCTCTTAAGAAGATAAAATGTCCATATTTATAACAAATGATCTAACAGTTTTCGAGTTATTGGTAATAATCGATTTTCAATTTGAAACTTCAAATGGCTATTAATTTTTACTTTCCTATCTGTATACAGATATAAGGAAAGTATAGGAATCATAATTTTTTTCGACCTCGAGTTTTCGACGGATTTTTACGTTTTGAGGTCCCCTGAATCCGTTTTGACTATTTTCGCGATGATACCTGTGTGTGTGTGTGTCTGTATCCACCATAACTCATGAACCGATACACAGAAAAACACCAAATTCCAGCGTCCAATGAAATGATTAGATTTTGGGCAGAGTCGGAACATCTGGGGGGGTACTTTATAGATGGTAATTTTTATATTTTATGGAATATATCTGTTATTTACGTTTGGAGAAGAAAATTTTTCAAATAAAAGTTACTTCTAATATTATTATCTATAATTTTTGTTCTATACAAAATTTTTCTAAAATGGTCCGTATTCGAGAAATTTGACAAAATGTAAAAAAATATTTTTTTATAAAAAAATTTCAAATAAAAGTTGCTCTATAATTTTTATCCTATACATAATTTCTCTAAAATGGACCGTATTCGAGATATTTGAGAAAATGTGTAAATTTCGAATTTTGAAGAAAACTCAAAAACGTATAAAGAAAAAACATTAAATCTTAAACTTAAGTTTTATTTCGGCCTGACGTGAAATGATTAGATTTTGGACAAAGTCGGAACATCTGGGGGGTACTTTATGGGTGGCCGTTTTTATGTTTTATGGAATATATCTGTTATTTATGTTTGGAGAAGAAAATTGTTCAAATTAAAGTTACTTCTAATATTATTATCTATAATTTTTACTTTATATCAAAATTTCCTGAAATGGTCCGTATTCGAGAAATTTGACAAAATGTGCAAAATTCTGATTTTTATGAAAATTGTTGAACTAAAAGTTGTTTGCGATACCGATCTCTATAATTTTTGTTTATACATGATTTTTCTAAAATGGACCGTGATGGAAAAATTTTAGGAAAAGTGCTAAATTTAAATTTTTCAGTATTTTCGTTTTCAATGAATATCTATAGAAAAATGTTTCGAGGTAGATGTATGTGGAAAATGTAAATGCTGCAATAGCTTGTACAAAATAACCGGAAAACGCCTATAATAACTAGATAGGAAAGTCATGTGTTGGACACATCAGATTTTTTGTATACATATACTTAAGTAAATTTTTGACTCCAGAATATCTGGTATAATTTATGACTTGCTTTTTTGTTACACTCTTACAGTAGAGTTGAATAAAGTCAACTTTTATAAGCCTCTCACTGAGTTATTTAGTAACTCAAACGCAGTTCAAATACTTAAATACTTCGCATATTCGCAAATTCAGTAACATGTCAATGCATTATATTAATTAGATAAGATATAATGATTCATACATTTTTTTTTTCTAGCAGAAACCTTCTTGCAACTTCAAACGGTGTAATTGTAGTGATTCTCCAAAAATACGATTAAACGGTAAGAATTTAATAAATCAAATCATTGTTGAGAACTATTTTATTTGACGAAATGAATTTTTTAGTACCAAAGGAAGACTATTATGAACAGCACATTAAAGCTCAGGAAGTCTATAAAAATAATGACGATATTCAATTTATAGAACCACATCCAAGATACATAGCTGCAGAAGAGAAACAAAACAACACAAAAAGCGAAGATTTATACGAGAACAATGAAGATAATCAATATAGGAGAACCGAATTAAAAGATTCTAATGAAACTTACATAGAAAGTGAAATTGGAAATCGTGGTTCAATCACTTCTATCCCAGTTACGTTGGATAGTCCTAAAATACATTGTGTTGAATCAGAATTCATGGTTTTGACTTGGAACGTATCACAAACGACTTCTCGAAATACTTACTATTATGTTCGTTATCATGTATATCCTGGACATGATAATACTTACGAAACAGGTCTGGTAAGTGCTTAAAAAATCCTTTTCCATATTTCACAGCAAAGATCATCAAATTATTTTGAAATTTTGCTCAAAAGATAAATTTCAAAACTTTCCTTGGATATATTTTTTTGTCCGTTAAGGAACACAAATACAAAGCCATATCTGCGTTTTCTTGATGCGTTTAAACGTTCTCAAGGTTATTGAAGTATGTTAGTATTTCACTTTTCGATATTTGCTACGTCATAAATTTAGGTGAGTAAAGTCCCCTTCCCCCTAGATATTTTTGATAAAAAAACTATTGCACTAGAATGCACTAGTGATGCAACAATATGCACCACTATTTATTTTTTTGCATCACCTTCTTCGAAAAACTACAGCTCTTTATTTGTGGAGAGCTAAATGAACGCTGCCCCTCCCAGTGAAAATTTTAAGATTTACTGTAATGCACCAGTTAGCCCTTTTCATGCATTCATATGCACCACCAATTAAACTTTTTGAACCCCCTCCCTTTAGTAGTTATAGCTGTTTCTTTACCGTGAAGTTGGCCCCTAATGATTGTTCACAAAAAAAAATATTGGACCGGTATGCACTTATATGCACTCCCCTGCCTTCGGTAGTTACAACAATTTCTTTACCGTGAAGAAAAATTACTAGTTTTGCTAAATAACCCCCATTTACCTTAACCGGTTTGGCTAAAAAAAAACTCGAACCGTTCTCTTATATCAAACTTAGTTAATAAAAAAATTATCGAGGAATCTAACAGACCGACCGATTTTTTTTTTCTGCAAAAAAATTGTCATATTTCACACATCTGTTAAAAAAAAGGTGATTCAATTAAAAAATACAAGTTTGCACTTGTTCGCTTGTAGCATGTAGTATATGTTTTACATTTGCAAAATAAAATAGAATTAACAAATAAACAAATATTAAAACAACATAAATGTATTATTTTAATTTTTAATCGTACAAAAGAAAATATCCAGTATACTTATCTTTGAATTATTTTTATTGGCTAGCCATCACAAAATCGAGAACAAACTAGGGACCAAAAATTTTTTTTTCAGTTGTTGAGATTAATACGTTTAAAGATAATAATTATATAAATTATCTGAGATACCGTTGTATTTATAGGCTGGGGGAATAAACGAGTATTTTGTCGTATTGGTGGTGAAAACAGCTAAGCCACATTTTTAGGCAATCGCATAAATAAAACAACTCTGAAAAATATAGTGGTGAAGAGAGAAGCGATTTTGTAATTATAACCTTAAAATTGCACAAACTGTGGAAGAAGCTGGGTGAAAGTACATATATTTTTTTCAGTGGTAAAACATTTTTAAGCGACATATATTTCTTTTTCTTTCGTTTTTAAATCAGTCTTAAAATGAAGGACGTGTTTTCGTTTGTACCAAATTTTATCATATTTAGTATATAAATAACTTTAAATCAAAAGTCGTTTTAACTTAAGACTTACAAACTTATTTACCCTTTTTAACCGACTTCAAAAAAGGAGGAGGTGTTCAATTCGTCGTAATATTTTCTCCAATTAATAAGTTTGTGGCTTAGCTCTCTTCAATACCAATACGACGATTTTTCTGCAACCTAACAAAAATCGGCCGCTCCGACGCTATCCTCCTCCTGTCCGTCTAATTGTCAGAACATCGCACACAATCGGCCAATCGACGATTTAGCAAGGCAGAGCATCGTCGCGAAACACGCTTGTGATATAGGTTTTTTAATGATGAGTTAAAACATGTTAATTTTTTTATTTTTTGACTGGTTGCGACGTGAAATAGCGTTTTTAAAGTCAATATCGTTTTGTTTATTTCCAGTTACACTTCTTGTTAAATGCATTTTTAACTCCAAGTAGTAGGGGAGAGCTTATACCTTGAACCGGATTTTTTCAGGAGTTGATTTTTTCACATTTTGATATTTTCAGGTAAAATTTTTGGGCTAACTTGTAGCTTTCATACAGTTGAGCGTTATATAAAAGCATTACTTCAATAAAACAAAAAACAATTTATTTTTTTGGATTTTATTTATTATTACGAATTTGTTCCAAGGTACAAACTTGTTGTGTTCCTTGAACCAAGTAGTCTTGTACCTTGAGGCACATATAAAAGTTTAAAAATAAATGTTAAAAAATATTTATCGCTATTCAACATTGTACTTTTTCAAATCTAAATCGAAAATCTGTATCCCTTTTTGCCTTTCTGACACTCCAGCCTGACGCGATGATGCAAGTTTGAGCAAAACGTCATCAATATCAATTTGAAATTGTTGTCCACTTGGGCCAGAAAATTTGTTGCTGGTAAGAATTCTCTTTAGGTATTAGACCATTTAACAAGGACTTAAGGCTGTTATTTCGGCAACATAAAAGTGTATTTTTTCCCTGTTAATTTTGTAAGGCAAAAATCACCTACTGCTAAATCTTAAATTTTTACTCCTGTAGCTCGATTTTCTTCTACGGTATTCAGTCAAAATCATCTTCAGCATCTAGGTCTGAATCGTCATCGTAGATAGTTTGTTCCAGTTTTGTACCGTTTCGAAACGGTATACGGGATCGTTCAACTAGCTTGTTATGCGCAAACGCTAAGCTGGTACTCTTTTGGATGGGATCACACTCTACCGGGATGGAACGAATTTATGTACCACTTTCAGTATCGAACGATGCTATTTGACAATTTCAGTTGGCGGGAAGTAGGAATTATCTAAATACTTATCACTTTTAACTCTGTTTTCATTTAGAGCAAGTTCTAAATCGTCTTCACTAGACGATAAGTCTAAGAGAAAATCATCACATTATTCATCACTCATAATTAAATTAGATATACTATCCAAGAACAAACACCACCAAGTATTAAACGTCAAATCGATTCAGTATACGCAGTGCGCATGTCAACCCAAGCGATACCAACTTTTAGTCTTGTATCGAAAGGACCGTACAGAAACCGATTCCCAAACGGTCTCATGTTTGGTTGGAACGCTAATCGGACGGTACAATGAATCGTCAATTCTCGGATGGAACGGACTTTGTTTACTGCGCATGACGATGACCGTACGATGTACGGTTTTCTGTTGGGTTGGAACAAACCTCTATCATCAGAGTTTTCGTCTGAAGATGATGAAGACGATAACGAAGGTAGCACTTTTCCCTTTTTTTTGTCCTTTTTGCGGACGCAGTTCTTGGAGCAGCTTGTGGAAATGGGCGGATCATTTCGGGTGAGATTAATGGAGCAACTATTTGTGTGGATGGAGTCGTGTTTGATCTGGACGATACAGCGTTTTGTGTGGATGGATGAATGTTGGAAGAAATGGCAGCAATGTTTAATGCAGCAATGTTACTGATGTTCTCATGAATTCATGCTCTCTAAAGATGTTTTCATTAAACGGCCAGATACCTGATATTCTAAAACCAGACTGAATGTTTGAAGGTGTGAATGCTAAACGGTAGGTTATTCCTGATATTTCGGCCACATCATTAATTGAAATAGGTTTTCCAGAGTGGCAACGCATCCAGTCAGCGCATGCTGTGTTATAGTATGTTTTGTAAGGTCCAAATACGCTTCGGTCTAGCGGCTGGAGCTTGTGACTTGTGTGAGGAGGTAGGGTAAGCATAACTATTCCGTTTTCTTTTGCCAAACTTATTGCTTCGATGTTCACATGACTTTCATGGTTATCTAGGATTAGTAGCACCATATTATTTAAGGAACAGTTTACATGTTTTATAAAGTGGTGAAGATACTGTACAAAAATTGTTTTGTTAGACCAGCCGCTAGGGTGAGCAGATCCAATGGAACCAGGAGGAGCACCTTTAAACATAAACTCTTTGTAATTTACCCATGGAAATACATATATAAGGGTGGTACACTGTTTTCTATGGCAATAATAGTAACATTGACACCTTTTTCACCCGAAGTTGTGCTTCCAACCTGCTTTACCCATTTACACGGCAGAATCTTATCTGAAACCAAAAACAAAACTTATAACAGGCTGAAATTTTTCTAACGATGTCAAAGTTAAGAATTTAAGAAAAATATTAAAAGCTTACCTAGCATATGAACATTTTTATTTCCGCTTTCTTCTAAATTGTAGATTTTATTAGCGGCAAACTGATATTTTTCTACAACTCCCTTAAGCTTATCAAAAAATGTGGAAACTGTGCTTGTTGAAGCTGGTGGGCCTAGACAAACTTGTCGCTTGTGGCTTCCTTAAGCTTAGTGTGTTTCTGCGCTTTACAAAATCCAAATAGCATTGTTTTCCGACCCGATATTTGTTTTCCCAAGAAGCAGGAATAGTTTTATTGTTTGTCTTTGCAAATTCATAGGCATAATATTTGTAAGGTATACTTTGCTCAAGTTTGATTAAATATCTTTTTAATATAGATCGAGACACCTTAATGTTCATTTCGTTCAGCATTTGCTGTGGCTTGTAGTGCAACTTCTTTTATCACCTTGTTTACTTCTTGGCATCTGAAAGAAATATCCTTAGAATTATACATCCGAACAAAAACATTAAAACATAGATTGTACCTTGGGCCGGCCCAAGGTACAAGACAAGCCCAATGTCCAAGATACAAGCCTATTAAGTTTAGGAAGGAATTGTTCTTCTAACTAAACATGTATAAAAATTAAGCATTATCAAATAAAAATTAGCCTGAATACCTAACTAAAAAATGTTAAAAATTCACGTCAAAATACTTACTTTTGAAGGCAGATATACCATGCACTTACTTTCAAGTCAATGGTTTAACATAGAACGCGTAAACAAAGTGTCGCGCATTGGTGGTGAACATGTTAACTAACAATGAGGATTTCATTAAAATTTACTCGCTAAATTTGAAATTGTATTAATGGCCCAAAGTACAAGGTGGATCAAGGTACAAGCTTCTCCCCTACAATGATAATATTTTTATATTATTATTTTAGTACGAATATTAAAATTGTTATGTTTTTTACCGTCGCTCGCCGCCACCTTGACTTGCCGTCCGTGTACCCCGCGCCCCTTGTACACCTGGATTGGAACGCCCCTGCTTATTACACACGGCGAAGTCATACACAAAATTTGCAAATAACCGGATATAGTAGTTTGTGTAACAAGAGTGGATATGATGGCCATATCGCATGAACACAAAATTTGAGCACAAAGCAGTAGGTGGAGAACTCAACCAATCTTTTCTATACCATCGTTGCTCTGGTCCATGACTTCAACCCTCGCAGAGTTAGGAAAAGGACCTCGCAGCATTGGCGTTGATTGTCGGCAAAGTACACACTTGGAGAAGAGTATGAATTGTTGGATATCTAAATGTCTGTCATACTCATTTAAGACATGTATTGCTGGTTTTTGCAAGAATACTTGTTTCACTTTTCCACTTTTTTTGTCATAGACCAATTTCTTCTTTTAGCTTCACTACTTGCAAATTTTCATTGTCATCCAACTATGTTAAAATCTGCTGACAAGGCACTCAATGGTTTCATCAAACTCTTCGTTTGTTAAAATTACAATGGACTCAATTTTGAAGGAATCCAAAACATCTTTTGAAACTCTTGTTTCCAAATCTATAATTGTCTCGTTTTCGACTTTTCCAAGATTTGTTTTTTCGCACTATTTGTTAGGTTTCTTCATTATTTAGTGTTTTAATAATTGTAACGATTTTCAGTAGGTTCTTATCTGTATTAATTTTTCAAGATTGTGATTATTATTATATTTTTTATATTCAAACATTTTTAATTATTTTATTTTTAAGAGGGGGTTTCCCTTAGTTCGCCCCTTCCCTCTGTAACCTCGCTTGTACATAAAAAAATGTAAATAATGAAGAGAAAATCAACAGAGTAGATGTCTACGACGCTACGCTATTTGCGAGCCAATTTTGTAGGCTTCGAATCCTACAGAAGACCATGTGAATTTATTTGCATGGTTTTCTATAAGATTTAATGGATGCCATATTAACAGAAACTTAATTTCTGTTGATATGACATTCAGATTATAAAAATCGCCATGCGTTACCGTTTTCGATGATGGTGGGTGGGGGTTTCCTCATCTGTAAGTCAAATGGAGCCATCAATCATCTTTAAGTCGCTCAGTCGATTTCAGGAAGTGAATTAGAGAGAGTATTATTATTAAAGAGGAAGATCTTGGTATAACTCCCACCAACAAATACAAACAAAACTATTACTGATTATTAAGACTATCCTTTTTTATAGTCCAACTAGGTAATTTGATGATCTTGGTGCACATGTTTTGCGTTATCGCAATGATTATAAATTGAATTATAAATATGTTTTTAGACGCAATGCAATTTCGTGATATTGACACATTTAGCTGCAGACACTTTATACAGAATAGAACTTCGCAGTTTTACTATAATTCCAGGAGAAGAAAGGCCGAAACAAGGACGTAGTCATAATGTACTATTCCACACTAGAAGATTGGAGTCTAGGCCACATCCAGTCACCAAATTTTACATTGACAAATGGATTTTGCAAGAAAACAGAAAGTATACAGCGACTGTAAGGTGGACCAAAGGAATAGGTAAATAAGCTTATAATGTACCATTTAACTTATAGGTAAAATATTCAATTGGTTGTCTTTAGAATTTTATACTTTTTCTTTGATTTATTAAATTAAATAAAGAAAACTGCAAATCGATACCACATTAAAAAATAAAAATAAAAAATAGTCTCAAATTTTAATTGATCGAATAAAATCTATTTTTGAGTAGGGGTGGGCAAAATAAGCGATTATTTTCCATTGATTATTTTAAATTAATCGATTATTTTCAATTAATCGATTATTTTCGATTAATAGATTATTTTCGAATAATCTAAAATCGATTATTTTCAATTATTTTAGATTAATTGATTATTTTCGAATAATCGATTAGTTTTATAATGGATTGCGATTAATCGATTATTAAAAATAATATAATGATCGTTTAATCAAATAATCGACTTTAAAGGAAATAAAAAAATATTTTTTTAATCTAATAAAAAATGTGTTGTTGGACAACTGTTTTTAAATAGTTTGTCGAAATTTAAGTCATTGTTTATTTGTATTTTTTGAGGAGCAATTTATGCACGAAACACTCAATCATTTGCTTTTGAAATAAAATAATAATTATAGTCTAAAACTCTAAAATATTAAAACATAATATATTTTGTCTACGCACATACTAAAAAACGAAAAAGTATGATATTGCGTTCAACTGAACGAATATATTTCATATCCATTCTAGATAGTGAGAACACTGAAAAAAATTAAATTCACCAATCACGATTCATATTTTGGTCACTCAACTACTTTCATTAAGTGATAATTATGTCAAACTAATTGTCAGTGTATTTTTTAGTTATTAAGATTAAATATACATTAAAATGAGTTAAATAATAGCAATTCTATTTTTATTTGGTCTATAATCATAAATAATTCGTTACTTTTAATAAAACCATATAAGGTCAATTTAATTACGAGTATTAAAGCAAACATTTTAAGCGCCTTGATGATGGTGAGGTCAGCACTTGCTATTTATGCGAAAGACCCGAGTTCAAATCTAGGATGGGGACAAATTAAATTAAATCTTTTTTCTTTTTTTTTTGTTTATTTTATTTTATAAATTATTAAGTCATAAATTATTTTCAAATTAGTTATTTTATTTTTAATATTTGTAGATTTTCGTTAAGTGATCATAGAAAAAATATACTATACAACTTGAGTGGATTGTCCATATCCACTCTTGTTGCACAAACAACTATTTATAACCTTTTTTTCGTGGTAACAATTCTAAATTGATTCAGAACTACTAATTCATATTTTAAAGGCATGTCAGATTTATTATTATCAATCCTGAATTGTTACCGCGAACGCAATCTCTATTATATCTCGGTATTCCAGGTAGAGGTGAGCGATTATTTTCGATAAATCGATTATTTTCGATTAATCGAATATTTCGATTAGTCGACTATTTTCATTAATCGATTATTTATATTAATCGATTATTTCGATTAATCGATTATTTCGATTAATCGATTATTTCGATTAATCGATTATTTCGATTAATCGATTATTTCGATTAATCGATTATTTCGATTAATCGATTATTTCGATTAATCGATTATTTCAGTTAATAGATTATTTAGATTAATTGATTATATTCCATTAATCGATTATATTCCATTAATCGATTATATTCCATTAATCGATTATATTCCATTAATCGATTATATACGATTAATCGATTATTATTTTTAAGTAATAAAATTTCTACAGAATTACTAACGATAAGTATAAGAGACCAAATGCGCCCAAAAATTCGTCTACGCTTCCGTAATCAATAGATTTTTTTTAGTATTTAATTTATTTAAAATTTCAGATAATGCCTGTTTTTACAATTTGGTGTATTTTCCAAGTGACGGAGATTATCAAGAATTTGATATAGACGTAAGTTTTTGCGATAAAATGTTTTTATATTCAAACTTTTATTCTATATTAGACACAATTATGAAGTAGTTTTATATAATTTTTTTAGCCTTTGGTAAACAACGTTTATAATATTTCTGATTTGGATCTTGGAGCCGACTATCCAATAGCCATAACACCATATACACTATCGTCTTACGAGGGTCCCAAAACATGGCTAAATGTTACCACCCCGACTTGTTTGGAAAGCTATAACCTAAGTCAAGTCTGCAGTAAGTGTAAAATTCTTAGATAAAAGAAACAAGTAAAATTGTTACGCAATATGATGTATTAACCACCTGTAAAAATTATGCGGATATTGCCCCTAACACCTTTTATAGAGGTTCCACTTTGCTTCCTGTTCATGTATATCTGCATTACACAGATTACTTGTTCCAATTTTACCTCACAATAGCTTGGACCTGTATCCAGTAAATTTTAACATTTTTTTTAATATATATTCTAGTTCCTGACCAACCACAAGATCTCGTAGTTAAAGAATATCTAGTAGGAGGCAAATTAAAACACCGCTACAATGTAGTCATGTATTGGACCAAGCCTAAGTATAGTCCGGAATATTATACAGCACATCTGTTATTAATCGATGTTAACATGACCAAATATTTCTTTAACATCAGTGGGGTAAGTAAACTTTATTTGAACACTAGTAATAAAATGTTGAAAACATTACAATAGACTTTACTTAAATAGAGTAAGTTTTGAAATAATGATAATATAGAACATAAATAGAACTATTTAATACAATCGATTATTTAAAAATAATCGATTGATCGAAAATAATCAATAACTCGGTTTTTTTTTAAATCTTTTTATCATTTAATCGATTATTTTCGATTTTTCAAAGATAATCGAATTATCGATTTTAAAAAAGAAATACGAAAATAAATATTGTTTAAAAATAATCGATTATTTTCAATGATAGATAATTTATTTCGATAATCGCTTTTATTAGGTTTAAATTGTATGATTATCATTCACCATCTATGTGAAATATTTTATGGAATGATAACATATTTTATCATATTTGGGGATTCGCTGTACCAACAAAACAATTCAACGACTTTAATTTTACTAAACATTAACTCCCCTCGCTCATCGATATGTAGCTAGTGTTATTGTTCTATTCTGTAACGTGTGGAGGGTGGGTTACCTCCACGAAACTTAGGCCTCATTAGGCCCATTGTGCATCCTCTTAAGATGATAGGCACCTCCTAGCTCGTGAGCCAGCCTACAGATTTAATGTAGTTGACAACGTCGCCAAGAGGCGTTTCTCTTATATCGGCCGGTGTAGCCGATACTCGCTGAACACAAATCTTCTAATAAATGATAGCGTCGAGCAATCGTAAAGGATATGTTCGATGATCTCATCTTCTTGTTCGCACCCTCTGCAGAGTGCGGATTCTGACAACCTCATGATATGGAGATGCTTCCATACTTGGCAATGACCAGTCAGAATGCCTGTGACTAGGCGCAGATTCTGTCTAGCCATAGTCAAGTATTTGTCTGCTGAAGTGTTGTCAGGATAACTTATCATCCCATCTTTCCTTGAATTTCACAAGGGAATGTTCTTTAATTATTTCTGTCACTACCGATTTTGTCAGGCCAATAGAAGGGCCAGGTCCAAAAAGTATTTGGTTGGCTGTTTTCTTGGCTAGTAAATCAGCAAGACGGTCACCTTTCGATGTGGCGTGGCCTTTGACCCATCTTAAGGTGACCACATTGCTGATGGATACTTCGGCCAAAGCTTCATGACATTCTAGTCTAGGGGTATGTTCAGGTTGAGTAGTGCTTGTCTGCTATCTGTATAGATGAGCATGTTCCTTCCAGCGATATTCTTTCTGATTATTTCTTTTGCTGCTATGAGAATCCCCGTTAGCTCTGTTTGAACTACACTGGCACTATTGCTCACAGCCCATTTTATGTTTAGGTTTAAGAATCTGGAGAATCGTACCTGCCACTTCTGGCTATTATAACTTTATATGGCTTATGGAAGATATATCTCGGTGAGATGGAGTCCATGTTCGCTTGAAGCAGTTGGAGCGTATCGAGCGCCTTCTGCCAAAAGTGACGTCTCGCCTCACTAGATCCTACATTAGGGTCTATTCCAACCGCGCGGAGGCGTGTCATTGTCGTAGGAGCACCATACTTGATGTAAATATCAAGTGGAGTGAGACTAAAAATGACTTCCATCGCTCTGGTCGGTGTTGTTTTCATGGCTCCTCTTATGTTGAGACATGCTGTTCTTTGGATTTGTTCTAGTTTATGGATAGCTGTTAATTTTTGGGTTTTCGGTACCCAGACAACTGCAACGTATGTTAGCATAGGTTTTATGATAGCCGTGTAAGTCCATGCGACGACTCTGGAGAAGAAACCCCAGGTGCGCCCCACGATTCGGCGGCATTGTTCATAAGCAATGTATGCTCTTTTAACTCTGTTTTCTTATTCTATTATCAAGACTTCAATGGTTTCTGCTCTTTTCCAATGAAACGCGATGCTAAGGTTTGGTATATTTAAAGGGTTGCGACATACGATGTAGTCTATCTACAATACGTGAAATCATAAATGATGGATTAAATTTAAATATTTTATGTCGAACACAATTAAAATATTTAAAAAAACACCGCTTATACATTCTCTATAAATTGGCAGTGGTAGGCTTGGCGACTACTATTTTGAATAAAAATAGCGTCCAATCTCTAAATTTTGGAGATAAATACTCGGATAAAATCAAGCGACCGATATGGGGTTGCAAAAATAATCGATTAATCGTTCATTCGGTAATTTTTTTATAAAAATCGATTTATCGGTTATAATTACTCGATTATTTCCGATTAAGAGATTATTTTCGATTATTCAAAGATAATCCCTTCCTTAAAATGTAAAAATTCAAAAACCTTGAAATACGTTATTATTTACTTATGATGAGAAATTACAATTCCAATTTTCAAGTTCCTACCATTAAAAAACCGAAAGTCTTATTAAAACTTTCACCTTCCGTTTCCCCCCAATGCGTAAAAATCCAAATACCTTGAAACATGTCTATTTGTTTATGATGAGTACCTACAATTCCAATTTTCAAATTCTTACCATACAAACTTTCACCCCCCACACCTTCCCCCATTTTTCCTATTTCGCCACTTTTCTTTTCTCCCCCATCTCCCTTCTAACCCCCATTTATCCTCTTTTTCTTCTTAAAATATGAAAATCCAAAAACCTGAAAGACACCATTATTTATTTGTGATGATGATGAGTAGTTATAATTCCAATTTTCAAGTTCCTACCTATAAAAAAATCAATATGCAAACTTTCACCCCCGTTCTCTCCTTAATAAAATGTGAAAATGCAAAACCCTGAAACACGTCATTATTTATATATGCTCAGTAGCAGTGTTTCAAATTTACATGTTTCATTACCATTATGAAAAAAAAAATCATGTCCAATCCCTTACTCTGTAAAAAACAAAAACAAATCTATTCTACGGGAACCGTACATTTTTTTGGGATAAAAAGTATCCTATATGCTATTCCAGACTGTAACTTATCTTTGTGCCAAATTTCATCCAGATCCGTTCTTGCATTTATATATTAGTAGGATAGGATTTGTAACTATAAATGGTTTTTGAAATTTTATTAGGTGACTTTCTTCATAAAAGAACTTAATGCACACGGAGTTTGTTTATTGCAAAATGCAGCATTATAAGAAATATCAAAGTATTTATATTGAATTTCTATTAGAACTAAACCGTTATATAATATTTTGAGGTCCCTTTTCTATAGACCTCAAAATTTTCGGCCATATTTTTCTCGCTCATTATGTATTAAGTGAAATAAACACTCCACAATCAATGCGTTTAATGGAAAAATAAATAGTTTACATATGTCTAGCGCTATGTAGGATGTATTATTTTTTAATTATTGACATAAATCTAATATTTATTTCTATTTTAGGAAAGCACTAATCACACATTTTCAAATATCCCTTTAATATCAGATTATGAAGCACTTCTGGTAGCTCATTCCAGAAGAGGACCGAGTAAACCAGCAATTATCCACAGACAAATCACGGCCAATTACACATTAGTAGACGATGAGAGTTTAGTATCAGTGGAATTTATTTTATTAATAACAATTCCCATAATAATCGTTGCACTTTTCGTAATGTTTTTATTGAACCGTTTTTTGTCAAAACGAATGCGAAATCAAGAACGAAATAAATTTTTGAAGGTAAGAGCCGGAGTTTTTCAAGGAAGCCCTCGATGTATTAATTTACAGTTAAGGTTTTAAACCAACATAATTATTTTTATAGAATTTGGAAGAAAAAACGTCACGCCCTAGCACTACAAGTACTATCAGTACAATTACTTTTAGTGATAACATAAAAGTGGACGAATGGGAAATAGATACCAACAAATTAGCAATTAAAGAAGTTTTAGGAGGAGGAGCTTTTGGTGTGGTACGAAAAGGTTGGTACACAGATGCTAAAGGACAAGAAATTGAAGTTGCAATTAAAATGCTTAGAGGTAGTTGAAACAAAAAACGTTAGCTTAAACCTAAATATTCTCATACTTGTTATTTATTGTTTTTAGATAATCCAACAGATGAAGAAATAAGACAATTTCAACAAGAAATAGAGATCATGAAATCAGTACCATTACATCCGCATCTTGTATCACTGATTGGTTGTGTAACTAAGCAAAATCTTTTGTTAGTGGTAGAATACTGTTCTAAAGGTGATCTTCAAACTTTTTTACGCGCTGCTTCTGACAAAATATTAAAAGCGTAAGTGTACATTTTGTAATAATTTTCTTATTTCGTTTGTGATTTTTTATTTATTTACTTATTTAATTAAATGGAAGTTTACAGAATTATAAATTAAGTTAAGCACCTGTATGTGCTAAAAGTAATGGCAGTAAAATTATAAATTACATTTAATTAGTTCTTGGGCATACTATTATAAAATATAGAGTAAGATAATTTAAATACAATACATAATACGCTAGTTCAGTGTGATGTCATTTTGGTTCCACTGACATTTAATTCTAACCAAACTTTTAACAAAAACATCAATAAATTTGACATATACGTTTTTACTGTTTTTAGTTTATTTCTAAATATTGTTTACAGGTCATAAAAATAGTTTAAAGGTATGTAATTGGTTACTAAACGATTGTATATTTGATGCGTGTTATCTACTTACAGTAGGAATATATTTATAAAAGTGAAAAACCGATATAATTTAGATAAACAAAACGAACCAAACGCACTCAAAAAATCTACTGTCACTTTAGTTGTCAGTGGAACCATAAATACATCATCATTAAACTAGCGTATTTATTATATACACATTTATATATTTACAAAAACAGAATAAAAAGAACGATCTAGATTAAATTCTTTAAAATGTTAAATATTAGATGTGATATACAGTTTTGATTTCTTCTGAAATAACTTAAATTTTTATATTCCTCACATTGGTAGGTAGATTGTTAAAAACTTTTAGATCAACATAAATAAGTTACATATCTTTGACTTGCAACTCGCTGAACTGCTGGAGTTCTTAAATTTTCATTATTTAATCTGGCTGTGGTTTTGTGCAAATGATTTGCAATGTATCCTAATGCAGGCTTTCCATAAATAAAAGTACAACAAGATAATGTAATGTTCTTATACAGAGCACTTGTTTATTATTCAGGGTATTTATTAAGTGCCGATACTTAAGGGTGTGAATCTTTGGGTAATGTAAGAAGAAAAGCTAATATCAACATATGTCGTAAACCTCTTAGTTTTTGAGCTACAGGGTGTTACAGTTTTAAGGAAAAAATAAATTTTACATCATAATTTTCTTATCACTCCAGATATTTTTATGACATTTTTTACACAATTTAAGCATTAAGCAGCACTTTTTTCTAAAAAGTAAAATGTCCTTAACTATAGAACGTCCTTAACTATAAAACGCCCTTAACTATAAAACGTCCTTAACTATAAAACGTCCTTAACTATAAAACTTCCTTAACTATAAAACGTCCTTAACTATGAAACATCCTTAACTATAAAACGTCCTTAACTATAAAACATCCTTAACTAAAAAAACGTCCTTAACTATAATACTTCCGTAACTATATAAAACGTCCTTAACTATATAAAACGTCCTTTAACTATATAAAACGTCCTTAACTATATAAAACGTCCTTAACTATATAAAACGTCCTTAACTATATAAAACGTCCTTAACTATAAAACGTCCTTAACTATGAAACGTCCTTAACTATAAAACGTCCTTAACTATAAAACGTCCTTAACTATAAAACGTCCTTAACTATAAAACGTCCTTAACTATAAAACGTCCTTAACTATAAAGCGTCCTTAACTATAAAGCATCCTTAACTATAAAACGGCTTTAACTATAAAACGACCTTAACTATTAAACGTCCTTAACTATTAAACGTCTTTAACTATAAAACGTTCTTAAATATAAAACGTCCTTAACTATAAAACGTCCTTATCTATAAAACGTCCTTAAATATAAAACGTCTTTAACTATAAAACGTCCTCAACTAAAGCTGCCGGGCCCCGGAAATTTGTCCCCCCCTACCCCCCCCCTCTCTTATCGGGCCTGATTATACGATTTCGTAACTATTCTTTGGTTTGAATCGGCACTGCGTACACTAAGCTTTTCAGATGCCCCCAGAAAAGTAGCTAAACTATTAGGATCGGGAGATATAGGCAATCTTGACTGCGTTCCTCCGCGACCTATCGACCGATTGCGTTAGGCGTGATTCAAAAATGTATGCACTCGCAAGCTAAAATGTGAAGGCGCACTATGGTGCAGTAGCCACGTCTGCTTTCTTAATAAAAGAGGAAGGTCTTCAATCATTGCCGGCAAATCTTCTTCAAGAAAGTGTAAATAAGATTGTCCATCAAGTCTTCTTGAAAGAAAATATGGGCCTATCAAATAATTATCAATAATGCCAGCCCAAACATTTAATGAGAACTGTTCTCGATTATTTGATTCAACAATTGCATAGGGGTTTTCTACCGCCCATAAATAGTTATTATGGAAATTTATTATTGAGTTTCGAGAAAAATTAGCTTCATCGGTAAAAAGAATGTGACTGTCAAATAACGGATTTTCCAGTAGGTTTTGAAAAAATAACTCACAGAAATTAATGCGCAACGGGAAATATCTAGGGAGTAATGCATGGACTCTTTAAAAATATGATATGGGTATAACAAATTTTTCATGAGAATTTTACAAACAAGTATCTTCAAATTCCGGTGTTCTTACTGTTTGATGGACTCCTTTCTGTGGTTTACTTCTAAAGTTCCGATCTCATGAAGACGTCTATGAATCCTAGAAAATGTTCTCGGATCGGGTAGTACACCCTTAAGTATCGACACTCAATTAATAAAAGAGAGGTAGGATATAATGCTGATTTTTTGTAAATAATTTTAATTATACGATTTTGTATTACATTAAGGGGTTGAAGTCTGAAGTGCAATATCATACAGTCCACCCTATATTATTACACCATATCGAAAAATAGATTCAACCAGCAAGTTGTAAATAATATAATTAGTAAACTCCTAGTTATAAATTTCCTAAACTCATAAAATTTAAAAATGAATCTTCTATGGTTGTTAATGACTGAATGTGAGCATTTCAAATTTTGATCAATTATGATACCGATTTATTTTGTTGTATTTTTCATTTTAATTATAAAGTTGTCATTTATTTGTATGTTAAAAGAAGGCCTATTGATGTTAGTTAACAAAAATGGTCAGAAAGAGGTTTTATATACATTTAGAGAGTTTATGAAAATCAAGCCAGTTTTTAAATGTACTCGTTTTGGTTTTTTGTTTAACCGCTTATCAGCTATTATCCTCAAATACAATGACAAGTGTCATCTGCATATCAAATTATTAAATCATTTATTTGGGATGATACCATTGATGTAAATAATAAAATTGGACCAAGAACCGTTCCTTGGGGCACTCCCATTTGAATGATTTCTGGTTCACTTATTACATTTTTTATTCTACCAGTTTGTTTCTTATTTAACATATAGTTTTTGTAAAGATCCAATACAATGCTTATTATAAATACATTTATTTTACAGAACCCTCCTGAACCAAGATACAGATTATGAAAAGTCCAAATATGTGTTTAATAAAATGTACGAAATCAACGAAGTTGATTTTCAGGACATTCCACTACCCAAAGATCTCATTTCTATTGCTCGACAAGTTGCACTTGGCATGGTGAGTAATATTGGTAATCTTATCAAAACCATAGGATGAACCAAATGTTTATCTATCTATACTCAGCAAACATTTTGTACAGGGCAATAAAAGGCCCAATAACTGTTACCCTCCAATTGTAATGATGGTCATTTAACTTTTATAATTAAAAGGCTGGCTGGCATATATAGGTCACTACCGCCGACAGTCGGGCCGAAGTTACTTAGCCATTAAATCCAGTTAATAGGCCTCCATTGTCCCTATTAACATCTAGAAATAAATATATTGGCAATTAATAGCCTATTGATAGAAAGTTAACGGAAAATTGCTGGCCCTTTACAGTTACAGTTACTTACCCTTCATAAGGCCATCATCAAGCAACATAATGCTGGGCCACTATCGAAAGGCCAATAGTAGACTTTTATCTTTTAATCGTTGCATTCATTTTCCCTTCCATTACAGCAAAAGGCCAGCATATCCCGGTAATTTATTGTTTGTTGGGATACATTCTTTTTTTCCCAATTTTCAGGAATACTTATCATCTCTGAAATTGATTCATCGTGACTTAGCAGCCAGAAATGTTTTAGTATCCGATAACAACATCATCAAAATATCCGATTTTGGACTCAGTCGTGACGTATACTATAACAACATCTATTACAAACCTTCTCCTGGCAAACTTCCCATACGCTGGATGGCGCTAGAATCGATGACGCATCAAATATACACGACACAAAGTGACGTTTGGTCCTTTGGAGTATTGCTATGGGAAATTGTTACACTAGGAAGTACCCCATACCCCGGAGTATCCACGCAAGAAATTTTAGGAATGCTGAAAATTGGATATCGGATGAAGAAGCCGGATAACTGCAGTGCAGAGTTGTAAGTATAAAAATGTTGTATACCTCGTTTCTATTGAAAGAAATACAGTGTGAAACAAAACCTAAATGGAATAAATTCAGTATCTCAATTATTGTGTATACGAGGGAATATTGGTATCTAGTTAGCCTGGAAAGATTCTACTGAACAATATTGAATATGGTTGCTGTGGTTACAACTAGGGCTGGGCGATTTTTAAAAAAAATAATCTATTTTTTCGATTAATTATTAGATTTTGTTCTATTAGAAAAAAAAAATTTTACTAAACACATCAATTAAATTGGTGTCAAAAAATAATTTTTTAAATTAATTTCTTTTCAGGTACGACATAATGTGCAATTGTTGGAAACCTGCACCAATGGAACGTCCGTCTTTCACAGCACTCAGAAGAGCTCTTGATGATATGCTTGCTACATTTTCGAATTACCTAAATTTAGACAGGAATATTATAGCCAAAGATAAAGAACTTTGTATAGAAAGATAAAAATATACAATGCGTTTTTAATAGTCGCGTACTTTTAACACAGCTTATTCAATACCAGATACTCATCTTTTGAAGTTCGAAAGTCAAATGGCAAAGTTGACATTCGCTTTTCGCGCGAAAAACAGTAGGAATTAGAATTAGGCATTCCAACGACCTGTCAAACCATAACTGCCAGTAGTAGTAGTAGTAGTAGTAGTAGTAGTAGTAGTAGTAGTCTTGCATCTTGGACGCTTTTTTTATTCGAAATAATACTCGCCAAGCCTGCTAATTTATGAAAAAATGTATAAGCGATTTTTTAAATAATATTTTTATTGTGTTTGACATAAAATATTTAAATGTAATCCATTATTCATAATTTTACGTATTGTAGACAGAATACATCGTATGTCGCAACCCTTAAATATACAATATCTTCCCACTGGCAGTTCATTTGTTTGAAATGCCTGATTTAGAATCTGTCACAAATATTGACACCTCAGGGCCGCATTCACTGCAATATGAATTTATCGTGTGTTTATTGGGAAATAATATGATTAAAAATATACACAAAGGTATGATATATTTAATAAAAAATAAAATAAACATAACAAATATTGAATTATCCATCGTTTCATATTATTAATTTTAATTTCTTTTCTTATCTGGTCCTTTAAAATTTCTATTTGCATATTTTAGTGTATACTAAATTCTTATTCTTGTACACAAATTCAACAAATAATAAAATGGAAATTGAGAACCAGAGTGCGACAAATTAATTTCTTTAAAAATATGTAAGTGTTCGGCGTAAATCGATTGTGTGCAGACAAGGCAAGACAAGTCGCGATGAACCAAATGCAATCAGTGCGAAGCATATAAAGACTGTCAAACTGCTCTAAATCTGTATGCATATAAGCCTTATAAAGGCAAAATACAGCAGTGTCATTAATGTCATTGGTATTTGTATTTGCGTAATTTCTGCAACAATCTCACATATTTAAGTATCCATATAAATATTTGACAATCATTTTTATAGGTATATCATCGCTGCGGTAGTACGTATTAATAGCACTTTTCTCAACATGCTCGGTTGACCTTGGTGTTTCAAGTTCAAACCACTCTTCAACATTTGATGGTACCTAAATCTGATATTTTTAACTAAATTTTTTCAGTAGTTTTATCTTAGCAGTTTTCTGTTCCTGAATTCATTACATTAAGACAAATGATTTTTAAATGCTCGCATAAATTGAATAGGCATAGAATTCACATTATTTCCAGAATACTGCCTAACAAAAAAACTTCATGCTCTTTGATTTTAAAATTTTCCATAAATAGATATTTGACAGCCTGATATATACTTAATGTTGATTTCTTCAACTTTGGCATTAAAACCTTTAAAATTCGAAAACAAGTGGCACAATATATCAGAATAATAAATTTTGGCAATGTGCCAACTCCAAAGAGGTTACAAAAGGTAGAGGTAACATAGCATTTGCCGCTGCGCGAATTTTGCCAAAATCGAAAAACTCGGTGGAGGGAGTAGTAGATGTTCTGTGCCGGACTTAAATATTTGTATTGTAGTAGGTACCTAATTTTGGTAACTTTTAAAAGATGAAAAATTATTTGAAATTTTTTGACTTCATTTGTTAGCAGGATTCGTTTATGATGAGGACAATAACACTTTATCAGTAGTAGCTAAGTAAAAGTTTATAAAATAATTGTTCCAAAAATAACCTTTTGTATCTTACCTTACAAAATGTTGCATTATAATAACATTGAAATTAATATTATTAATACATATTATTTTATTATTAACCGGTTTTACAAATTATTAAGCAAATGTTAATAACGTCAAAATAAAATTATATAATACACTCCGCACAAAAATTAACGCATCATTTCAATTTTCTTACAAAACTTAAAATTTTGCAATTTTTTTTTAAAATTTTGTGCCTTATAAATTAAAACTATTTGTATGCAATAATGGCAAAAAAATAAAACTTAAGAAGGGACCAAATAAATTTATTCGATTTTTTTACAAATTTAAAAAACTAATTTGGGTTCAATCGATAAATAAAACAAAATTAATACCTTGTATTACCACTCCGTGCTCTAAGTACTGCCAGACATCGACGTGGCATTCTTAAAATCAGGCTTTGCATTAATTGTTCCGGCAAATTGTCCCATTCCTCGGTTAAGAGCATTTTGAAGTGGATTTAAATCAGGACTTCGAGCTGGCCAATCCAATGTGGGAATACCAACTTCGTTAAGGTACTGACGAACAATTAACCCAAACAGCACAGTACGTCTTAAGTACGTACAGTTTTGGTACAGTACGTACAGGACGTAAAATGTATGTTTTAAGTACGTACACAATAGTACGTACCAGTACGTACAGAAAAATACGTACTAAGTACGTACCTAAGTGTACGTAATCCTGGTTGCATACCTGTTTTATTGAAAAACCTAAATTTTTACCAAATTTCTGTTGACCGTAGGCCAAAAAGACAAAAAATGCAAAGAAGAAACACATTTTATTTAACCTAACATAAACTCTAAACTAGACTCGCTCGTTTTTTAAGCAACCACGTTCCAACGGTTTCATCAGTTTGTTATTGTTAGTTTTTTTAATGTTTAAGAATTTAACTATTAAGTGTTTCTTTAAATAAATAATTGTGTATAATTTATTATAATTGAACAAGACAGTTCTTAAGACTTTTAGACTTTTTAGTGCGTGTTATAAGTACTTAGTTTTGTCATTTTATTCTGGTGAGTGGTTTCATTTTAATTTTAAAAAATTATGTGTAATAAATATAATTTATAGATATGTCTCCCATCCCATAGTAAACATTACAAAAATGCTATAAAACAATTGAAAAAGTTTAAGGAAATGAATAAACAGGAGGACAAAAGAAGTGATATTTTACAGACCCTAATAATTTAATTTTGGATTTTGTTAAAAGGAGTATGGCTGCTACCTTAATAACTATAATCAGCTGGCAACAAATTATAATTGGCTGCAGTTGTAGTGGGTAAGATGTTTTGATTTTTTATTTTTGCATGCCAGTTTTCATAAAGTCGTTACATTAAAAACCCTCTATCCAGTCACAATTATTTTTGTATCTAATGAAATTGTGTACTTCCAACCATTGGACTTCAAAACTGGCGGAGAAAAAGAAATATAGGAGTTCCGATATTATACAGCAGTGTCAGGAACAAATTGTATTTCAAAGGCATGAAGCCAAAAGAGGTGGATACAAATTAGAGAGATTTACATTCAGGAGTATATTGACTATGATAATTTTGAGCCGTAGAAACTATCGTAGAAACTACCGCTTATTTTACTCTACATCTTTTTGTTATATTGTTTTTATTATATTACTTATTATAAAAAGTACCCAAGTTAAGTTTCTAATTTGATATTATTTCTTTGCAGAAGGTGCTGTAAAAAGTAGCAAATGCAAAGAGAAGAAGGTTGCAGAACAGGAAATTGTGAGATGGCTAAGAAGAACTTTAAAAAAACATAGCAAAACCATTTAAATTATTCTTTGTAAAAAATTAAATAAATACAAATTAGCTTTTTTACTTTTTTTTTGTATTGTACTAATATGTACATTTTACATCATAAGTAAGTACCAATAAGGATGAAAAGAACGTCTAGAATATGTACTCTATTGGAATAAGTGCAAACATAGTACGTACATAGTATGTACATTAAGTACGTACACAGTACGTACATTAAGTACGTACACAGTACGTACATTAAGTACGTACACAGTACGTACATTAGGTACGTACAGAGTACGTACTTTAAGTACGTACTAGGTACGTACTGTCGTTTGGAAAATGTACGTATTATGTACGTACTATGTACGTACTTCGTACACTAAAGTACGTACATGGTACGTACTTTACGTCCCATCAGTACGTACATAGTACGTCTTATGTACGTATGTGTGTTTGCTGGGAAAGCTGTGTGTCTTGTATAAAAACAAAATTGTCACCAATGAAAGGTACAATATAGGGTTCAAGAATGTCCGTTACATGTCTTGCAGCTGTTAAATTTCCTCCTACAACTGGTACTAACTCTGTACGAGCCGCAAAAGAAATTCCTCCCCACATCATAACAGAACCACCACCAAAAGGTTTCGTTTCTCTGATGTTACACTGAAAGTATCGTTCGCCATCATGCCTGTAGACTGGAATTCGTCGATCAGATGAAAACAGACTGAATCTAGATTCATCAGAAAACAGAACATTGGACCAATCGTCTATATTCCAATTCAGATTTCTGGCAAACTCCAACCGTGCAACACGATGCTCCCTGGTAAGGCGTGGACACAAGTCTAATTCCTCCTTCCCGAAGACGATTTCTTATTGTTTGCACAGAAATTCTTGTGTTGCGGGCAACGGCTACTTCGTTTTGGAGCATTCGCGCTGTACAGTGTCTAGTTCGAAGAACGGTTAATGTTACAAATCGGGTGTCCGCTGCTGTGATAACCCTTGGACGACCTTGACCAGGCCTTCTGTCATATTGCCCTGGTGCTGTAAACCAGGCAGCTACCCTAAAAATTGTTGATTGTTGAACATCAAAAGCATTTGCAATGTAACGTTGACTACGTCCTTCTTTAAGTAATGTAATGATTCTAATCACTTCGTCATGACCCAAATTTCTTCTCTGGCGGTCAGGATTATTTATTTCAATAATTTTCAACATTAAATACCACAAAATCAAGTTAACTTTACTAAATATTGAAAACAACAAATCGCGAAAGTTGGTTGCAATTTCAAAGTATTAGTATTTATTTTACAAAAACATTTACACATAAAAAAACTCATATTTTTTAAAAGGAAGTATCCAAACCTAATATACAGGGTGTCCCAATACTTAAATAAATCGAAAAATCAAATGAAAAACTTTTTGTCACTTTTAATAGTGATGCGCTAATTTTTGTGCAGAGAGTTCAAGACTGGTTAGTCATAAAAGCTCCTCTTCACGTTGGCCAATGCGCTGGTAAATACTATTGGCAATATTCATGACCAGCACGTACTTTCCTTACTTTGAAAAAATGTTTATATACAGGGTGATTCAAACCTAAGTAGTGAAGAAAATACACATTTTTTTAGATGAATTTTGTAACACCTTGAAACTTCGTAAATATTCACTTTAGACCCCAAATGTGATGACAGTTGGTTGAACTCAGCTCATCAATAACGGCTTTAAAAATAAATAAAATGAAGATATACAACGCTATATTATCCACAGTTTAACAGACCCCATTAACCCCCATTTTCAATCAGATTTTGTTTAGAATCAATATAAAGCTTCCTGAATATTTCAATTTGAACCGTTTTTTGTTTGTAAGAGTATTTTTTTTTTTTAATATTTCAATCCCCCTATTTCCCCATTTTAATTTATTTTTCATTCCCTTATAGAGCTTGATTTTACTAAATATTTCATGTTGATATTGCTTTTGGTTTTTGATTACTATTTTTTTGAGTTAGGATTTTTTTAAATATTTCAATCCCCCTTTATCCCCTTTTTTTTTCAATTTTTTATCAGATTCAATAGACTTCATCTACTTATAGAGCTTAATTTTTACTAAAAATTTCATGTTGATATCTCTTTTTGTTTTTGATTTACGATTGTTTTTTATTTCAACCCCCATTTTTAATCAGTTTTTTTTTAATAAAAAGGCTTTTTCACTTTAAATAGCTTGATTTATGCTAAAAATTTCAAGTTGATATCATTTTTGGTTTTTGATTTATGATTTTTATTTAATTTTTTTCAACCAATAGACTTCGTCCCCTTATAGAGCTTCTGAAATTTTCAAGTTGTAATCATTTTTCGTTATTGATTAATCGTGCGGAAAAAAAAAACGTAACATCGAACAGACGGATAATACAAGGTTTAAAAATTGTTTTTTTGCTTCACCATGTATAGGTATACGAATCACTCTGTTTAGATCAACATATTTTCAAAGTAAGTAGCATACAATGTCGGCAGAGCTGGGCAGTTCTCGAGTAAATTGTACCTCAAAATGGTACTTGACTATTCAAAGTACTCACTATTTGATAATATAGTGCGATACAGATTGATAATGCAGTGTGAAGTCTTAAGTATAATTTATAACCACCGTAACGTAACTTAACGCCGTAGAAACTTAACCTAAGATATAAAAATAAAGTCTATTTATAAATGTCCGTAACGTAATAGTTGAGCATGCGTGTTGATTTCAGAGATCATCAAATTATTGTCAACCTTATGAAATAAACAAGTGTAAACTATGTACTTAACCTCTAAATAAAACTTATAAATTATGATTTTACTATATAGAAAGAATATATTAACTACTTTAAAAGCAATAATATAAAAATATAATAAAACAAAATAGTTTACCGAAGATGTTGATTGTTTTTGAGCAATAATGAGAATTTAATCTTTCCTAGCAAAAAAGTGTTGTGTCTTATTTCAGTTCTAGACTTCATGTTTATAGGTATATGCAGCTACACTCATATCTCATAGATAGTTTATCCCCAATAACATAAACACAAATCATTCATGATAATGTATGTCCATCAAAAAAAAGAATGATAGTTTACAAATGGTATTTTTCTATTTATTTATAAAAATAAATAAAAAGAGAATAATTGACAGTTATCACATGCTAAACGCAGAATTATCTCATTGGCTAACCGTAAGGTCTTAAGTTAAGTTATGTTGTTAAGTTAAAAGTTGGTGAACTTTCTACGGTACGTTAAGTTCTTAAATTACGTTACGAACATTATAATTAAGTATACGTAAATTCAATATTTCAACTTCTTACGTTAAGTTCTTAAGTTAAGTTACGGCGGTTATAAATTAAGCTTTATGAAGCGCGCCGTGGCCAGCCGTCGCTATGCTGGGACCGGCAAAAAACAGCAAATTTCACACAGTGGTATTAGCAAGTCTTTAAATAATGCCGGACGACCCATTTGTTTTTCTGATATCTATGTAGTCTTCAAAATTTGGTTTTCAGAAAAATTTAAAAGGTTTTGTTTTTATCAAGAAATATCTTACGTGTTTTTAAACAGCTAACTTTTTCATCCTCAACATCCGTTTTTCAATTTATTATCTTAATAGACGATTTACCTAACCAAAGCTTCTACTAACCAATAGCATTTATCATCAGAAGAATTCTGTGAGGTATGCTAATATTATCATTTATATTGTATCACAAAAATATTCTGTTTCCTATTTATTAATACTTCACACTCACTCTCACAGAGAACCAAATAACGAACTGTCACCAACTCTATTATTTATTATGCAGAAAGCAACTAAGCCACTTGGATTGCTTATGTAGGCAGGTCACCTTCTTAATCAATTTAGTCGGTTGGTTCATTGGCTTAACAAATTTAGTCGGTTGGTTCATTGGTAGTAAAAGTTAAGGTTCTTAATGCAATATTATGTGAAAGTCTAAAAATCACAAATTTGTGGGTTGCTTCCTTTCTACAGAAAGCCTTCCAATTAGACACCAAGAAAGACAAACGGTCCTCATATATGCAACCAAGAATACATCCTCTAATAACATTGACTACTAATGGGCTGACCCTGTCACAGCTATCGGAAAGACGGCGACACAGTGTCCTGGTCTCCCATTAGAAATACATTGCCTATGTCTGGCCATACTGCATTTTTGGTGTGTCCCGAACTATAAATCATCATATTTTTAAAGTAAGCAGCATATAGTGCCCGCAGAGCTGTGATTTTCTCCTTAGTAAATTGTACCTCAAAATGGTACTATTCAAGTACTCAGTAATTGGTACTAGTGAGTACTTTCATCCAGATGAGACTGAAAATAGCAGGAAAAACTTTTTTAATTTATTTTCACCTTTTGAAAAAATGTTATTCTTCATAAGTTTTTATTTCAAAAAAAAAAAAAAATAAGAATCCAAATAGAATATCTTTGCTTAAGTGAAATAATGACATTTTTTTTATTTTTTTTTTACATTTTGGTAATAATAATAATAAAACAAGAAATACAGGTTACAATAAAAACATAATTTATCCAAGTTTCCACATTACTTGTAACATGTATCTACCAATGACCAAGTCCGGTTCTTTTATTTTCAAATAAACAAATATGGCCGTCAATAGAAACTACAAATTAAATTTCCTATATCAGCGTCATACTTTGCACTTTTATACTAAATACAGCTTTTTTACAACACACTTTGGCATTTTTAACGATAATTTCCCCAATTTGAATCACTTAAATCTGGTTGAAGATAGATTTGAATTAAATTTGTATGAACAACACTCCGACATATGACGTACTCAACTGTGATTGGTCGGTGTGAATAGTTTCGAAGTGTGCTCGTGCGCAGTGTCTTATAGTGGATTTTATTTGTTGCACTAAATGTAAGTTTTCTGCACTAATCGCATTTGATTTGTTCAGTGCAGCTTCAAATATTTGACAGTATCACACGTGTAGCATATACTTTTGACAAGTATGACAGTTCAAATACAGTGTCGAGTGTGACACTAGGTGCAACAAATAAAATCCACCATTATATTCCATCTACGGTCAACTACAGGCAAACCAAATATTTTTGACAATTATTTTTTCATACTATTTTGGACCTAAAATATATAACGATATTCATCCTTTCTTATTACTGTAGTTACAGTTCTAACATAATTATTTTTTTAAATTTAACCTTTCTAAATTTACTGAATACGCTTCTGCAACAAGACCGAATCTCTGCCTGCTAAGAAACCTGCGCGGCAGGCAGTGTGCGAACTATTCATTTAATGACGAGATAAGTAGCTGGTATTGAATAAGCTGTGCTTTTAATATTTGACATGATTGTATTGTTTTAAGCGAACAACGTAATTTTGATAAACAGATATTGTAAAGAGTTGATTATATAAGTATTTATATGTATATTTTAAACTACATATGACTAAAATCAACTTTCTTGCATTAGAATGGTTTTTGTAAAAAGATTTTGACACTAAAATACATTTTTTGAAAAATATTTTTTCTTTATTAAGGAAGTAACTTTTGTTATTGGCAGTTATTTTATATTAGCTGTATAAATAACATTTTAATCTATAGGAATATCTGTAAGGTAAACTACTTTTAAAATAAGTTTTAAAACTATATATTTTTACAAATAAACTCTTAAACTAAAGAGTTACAAACAGAAGTAGCTCTTTAGTATTCTACATATTTTAAATAGAAAATATATACTTTTAAAAGAAACAGTATAAATAATATTTAGCAGATACAAATCATTTTTATACCTAATTTATTGTATTATACATTTTTATACATACTTTATACAGTCGAGCAATTTGTTTTAGTAATACCTCTACTCTGATTCCATTAATAAATAATATTTTAAATGAAAAGTAGTCTTTTTTGTTAAATGTCTTCTATTGCTCGGGAATGTGTCCATCCGTTATCACTTGGTTTTTTCGTTTCAACCATAATCACAAGATTCTCCAATAAGAAGTCAAAGACCATCGCTTCTTATTGTTGGATCGTCTCTATCTACAGGTGGAGGTGCCGAGTTTACTTTGGCACTAGGTCCTTGGGTCAAGTAACCTGCAGCTGCAGGCGTACCAGCTAAAATTACGAATTTTAAGCATATTGAAAGAATGTGCAATACTAAAAACTAAAGAGTAATAAATCTACATATTAATGTATCCTCTTACTAGTGAACCTCACCGCATTGTGCATGTGTGTCAACAATTTTTAAGCTACCTTTGGAATCAATTTTAATGTGCTTGTATGAGGCGCTCTGGAGGGACTTACATCTACCCTAATCGATAATGATACCCCACTGGGAATGAAATCTGGATGTCGTAAACAGGGTTCAAAAAAATCATGATTTTTTAAAAAATGTTAAATCATGATTTTTATTACAATAAAAATCAAAAAATCGTCATTTTTTTTTAGATTTGAATAATGTGATTTGGTCTATATTTTAAGAGGAAGTAAAGGCACTCTACTTAATATTTGATTCATATTTCTCAAGCAATTTAAATATTTTTAAGCTATTGCATAGCTTTTATCGCGGGCTTTGAGCGCGGCGATCGAATCAAGAAAAAAACGAAACCGTAACGAAAAAAAACCTAACAACCCCCCCCCCACTCCGACCGGCACAGCAGTGCGGCGTTAAACAATATTAACTTCTCATTTATTCAATAAAAGAAAATCAAAAAATCGAAAAACCGAAAAATCGAAAAAACGAAAATTCGGTGCTCTATTTGGCATTAAATATTCTGATGCGTTGTTATAGCTAATTGAATATTTGATCGCACAATGCATTAGGCTACCGAGCTGTTACTATCATACTAGACCAGAGCATACTGGCGCATTCGTTTGCAAAATTGTTTTAATTCGTAATTTTTTTTTAAATGTCCTGAAGGTTTGCCTGATTATAAAAGTGTAAGATGACACTCGATATCTGTTGATGTTATTGTTTAAAACAACAAAAAATTAATTAAGCCAGAAAAAATGCATTTTATCCAATGAATTAATTTTTTTTATATTCTTTAGGATATTTCGAATAAAAAAAGTCCTTACGCTCTTCATCGTATCTTTAACCCTTTAATTGTTATGAATGTTTTAAAAATCCGAAATTGACGAAAATTCTAATTTTCTTGAATTAAATAATATACTTTAAAATTTAAAATGCTATAATTTTAAATTTTTTACCGAATATTCAAACTATAATAAACAAAATTACCTAAATAAATTTTCAAAATTTTGTTTGTTGTTATGTTTTTTTTACGTTATAACAATATGCTTTCTACGCGCGTGTACTTTTAGAGAGAAGTACTTCTATCTCACTTCCAACTCAATGTATAAGATGGGTAAGAGAAAGCCCGATGACGCGCTAAATCAATTTTTTTGCTGTTTTTCAGCGGTAATAAGTTTAAAAAAATTATTATTAACATTTTTCATAACATTTTGTTATATTTGCCGATTTACTAGTTTTGTATCATGTGATTTTTTTTACTTTTTTAGATACTTTCGATAACGTTTTTATTCATTGAAGTTAATAGAAATGTTCCATCCACAAAAAAAAAATCATTGCCAAGAGCTGTCTAAGAAATAAATTTCTCACTTTTTTTCCAATAAGATAAAAGAAGACAAACATACCTGCCGTAATTCAAGTGAAATTTCTACCTGTTACGATGAGCATAATTGACTCACCTGGTTTTTATTTTAAAACAGAGTACGCAATATATATGTATTGAATTTTTTCTATGGTTGTTAATTCTTTTCCACTATGATTATTTAATAGTAATATTCATTTATTAAGAAAATTTTTACATAAAATTATAGTTTGTACATCTAACTAGTTTTTACATGAAATTGATTTTGGCAACATTCAATTAAACATCCGCATAATGCCACACACGTCATGTTTAGTTTTTGACACGAACAAGCTTTCGTTGTACATTTTTTTTACAGTTGCACAGTTTTGCTAAGTCTCCAGGAAATGGCGGTTTTGTTAAATACAGTGGCTTTATTTGGTTATCACAGAAAACATAACCAAAACCAGAGAAATCTAAAGATCACGACAAGATTTTACTTCTCAGGCAGTATCTGACAATAATTTTTTCATGAATAAAAATAAATGTTTCTGTTAACTTTAATAAATAAAAAAGTTATCAAAAGTATCTAAAAAAGTAAAAAAATCACATGATACAAAACTACACACCCCACAAAAATTATCTCATCACTAATAGTGTTCAAAAATTTTGAGTTTTTTTTTGAACCGTTTGATTGATTTGGATATTCTTTTTTTGGAAGATAAGTTGATTCTTCAGGAATAGTAATCTCTTTGATTCTTTAAATAAAATTTAATTTTGTAGTGTATACCGGATGTTACAATAATATAGGTTTTTAGTTGGAAAATTCGTAACACCCTGTGGAGTGTACCAGCAATAATAGCATGTTATAATTAATAGCCTACTTTAGCCTCATTTTTCACAAAATTTTATTTTTTTGATTGTTTTATTCTCTCTGTTATTAGAGGAGAAATACAGTTTTTTAGCACTGCCTGTTTTTATAAACATACATTGCAAACATTTTAGTGATGCGATAATTTTTGTGGGGTGTATATTAATCGGCAAATATAACAAAGTGTTATGAAAAATGTTAATAATAATTTTTTTAAACTTATTACCTCTGAAAAACCTCAAAAAATTGATTCAGCGCGTCATCGGGCTTTTTCTTACCCATCTTATATATTGAGTTGGAAGTGAGATAGAAGTACTTTTCTCTAAAAGTACACGCGCGTAGGAAGCATATTGTTATAACGTAAAAAAAAACATAACAACAAACAAAATTTTGAAAATTTATTTAGGTTATTTTGTTTATTATAGTTTGAATATTCGGTAAAAAATTTAAAATTATAGCATTTTAAATTTTAAGGTATATTATTTAATTCAAGAAAATTAGAATTTTCGTCAATTTCGGATTTTAAAACATTCATAACAATTAAAGGGTTTAAGATACGATGATGGGCGTAAGGACTTTTTTTATTCGAAATATCCTAAATATAAAAAAAAATTAATTCATTGCAAAAAATGCATTTTTTCTGGCTTAATTAATTTTTCGTTGTTTAAACAATAACATCAACAGATATCGAGTGTCATCTTACACTTTTATAATTAGGAAAGCCTTCCGGACATTTTAAAAAAAAAATTACGAATTAAAACAATTTTGCAAACGAATGCGCCACTATGCCCTGCACTATACCCTTTTTAGCATAAAATGACATCTATAATTAAAAATATATTTACTAACCTGTTAGATATCCAGAAATATTGGTATTTGAAATAAACAAATCATGTTTTTGGTCTTTATATTCTGACCAAACTCTGCTCTGCTCTAGTATTGAGTTCACTTTCTCACCGTACATCAGACTTCTAGTCATCGATTTTAAGGCCTTTACTATTTGCGCTTTTGTCATGGCTGGATTATCTATGAGTTCTAATCGCGCTTCGAGAAGCGTCAGTAAGAACTGAACAAACTCCACGTCGAGAGCCTGTTTTATTAATTGATCTTGGTTACTAGAAAACAGCCTACTAAGAGCTTCACAGGCTACCGCAACCATGTCTTTTCGGACTTGCATGGCTTGTTTTAGGGGATGCATACAATCTGACTGAGCTATTGCACTTACACATATCTAAAAATATGAACATGTTTTAATGTAACCAGCCATCGAGAAAATTTAATGTATTTTATCAACTGTCACAGGACATTTTAATCTTGAAATTCAAACTGAACGTTTGTGTCATATTTGGTCAACTTTTATCAAAAAAATTTAAGACAAGTATTAGAAATTAAAAATGAAAAAAAAACGACTTCAAAAACGTGCAGATGCCATCACCACATCTTAACCAAATTTATATGGGACTACCCCTGGGGTACCCACTTACTAACAAAAAAAGAATCATATAAATCGGACACCGTGTTAAAGAATAATCGCTGAACATACATTAAAAAAAAATATATCGCGACGAATTGATAACCTCCTCCTTTTTTGAAGTCGGTTAAAAGTAGTATTCAACACAGAATAAAAAGCAAAAATTATCGAATGTTACTTCTGTGCAGGTGTAAAAGTAAATGACGAGTGGTAGTATTCAATTTAAGAACATCCTGAATTAGTGTTTGACTACAATATATTTTATGTTTTGACAAATTCTGTGCAGTTATACAGAGAGACTAGTAGCGTCGGTCAAAAAACTGAACATGAGCGGCTTTCTAAATGTACAACTGAATATATTGAAGTTGTTCGGAATGTTATTAATAAAAATCCAAAAACATCGATTTCAGTAGTGGTCCAACAAACATATGCTATAGCACATGCCAACTTATTATTTTTATTTTTTTTTTTATTGGACAGCAGTTTCTGTAGTTTTAAGTAAATTTTGATTGTTCTCGTAAATAAATTATTCGTTTCTTTTTTTGTTGTTGTAATCATTTCAAGGTAATAAACGTCGATAGTCCGGCAGGATCCTGTCCGGATTATCAAAATATCCGAATTTTTGAAAAGAACCAAAAAGGTCGTTTGAGTTCATAACAAAAATAAAACTTACTAAAACCGTTAAAAAAAATCACTTTCGTGGTTAAATAATTTAGTAGATAAATAAAATCATTAATTAATATGAATTATAATGTATTTTAATGAAAGAATACATATGTAATTTTTTTCACCGGAATTGAATCCGAATTATCGACGGTCCGGATTTTTGACGTCCGGATTATTGAGGATCTACTGTAATAAATTCAATTCTGTTAAAGTGGCTTAGGTACCGACCCAAAACATAAATTTCTCAACCAACAACAATTATGATTTTTCCCGATTGCTCGTTACAATTCTCTAATTAAAAAAATAAGTTTTTTATTAGATAAAATAGAATAAATAAAAAAAAGTATGTAGAAAATATTTTGTCATGTTAAAAGAAAAGGTTTGTTTATAACTACAATTTAAATAAAAACTTACAGTACTCATGGATAAAGAATTAAGTATACAAATGGCCGATTTCGGCACTGCTATTTGCTTAGTATTTGATCCCATTTGTCTGCATAACCTAGGAATGTGACCCATAGATGGTATTGTATCCAGAAGAGCTGGCTGAGCTTGCAATAGAGAGCACAAGGCAGTTGTACATAGTTCTAATAATTCTACCTATAAAATACATTAATTATTATAAATTTTAAGTTTTAAATATATGGATAAAAATGTTAATGAATCTTTTTAAAAAAAGAATCCATATTGTGGATTCATGAACGGCTATGTAGTTACAATATTCACTTACGTTAGGTTTTTCTTTACTCATTAAATTAAGGCATGTTTCTAGTAGTTCGGTAAGGAATTCTTTAGGTTTCCGCAAATTCCAAGAAGGATTTGCTATAAATATTCTGAGGTATACACCTCCTACCATAATTTCATTAGGCGTAGCTAAGTTAGTTAGGCCGTTTGTGTCTGGCATTTTCCAGAAACTGGAGGGATTTGAACTCTGTTCAGTCTGATGTCTGCAAAAAAAAAACAATTAGATCACTAATGAAAAATTTAATGGTTTAATTAAATAAAAGGAGACCACCGCTCTATAAAGTGAACAAAAGTCAGCAATTATTATTAGATAAATAGTATATTTTCGATTAAAATTATTTTCACCGCGCCTGTCAATTGTCACAATACAAAGGCTGGAGGATTATTCGTTGACATTGTGTTAGCTGTGACGGGCTTGTGTATTTTTCGCTTTATTGTCTATAGATAGACATTAACATTATAATAGTATTTTAGTGTTTCGATTAGTGATTTAATGTATACATAAATTGAATTTTATGCTTCTGTAAAGGCTGTATGTCACGATACTAAATTAAGTACTAAATTTAGAACTAAATTAATGCATTTTTTAAGTACTAAAAAAATTAATTAATTAATTAGAACTTGTTCTATTTTCTACTAAATTTAGTACTAAAAGTGCGTCGAAATGTTGCGCAGAAGTGTTTCACTGAAAAAGTTGACAGGACGGTATTTTCTGTACCCTTTTATTTTTAATTAGCGACAATTTTGCATTATCAAATTGAATAAAGTTCGCTTGTTTGATTTTGTAGGTTTATTGTGTTTATTTCGTGGTTTTTAGTAGCATTGCTGTATTTGGTTGTTGTCAAGTCAACTAGTGTCAAATTGATAATAAAAACACCATTTACCTCACTTGTCTATTTTACACAGAATATTTCATTTCTCTGCTAATTTCATGTATTGATACGTCAATGCGCGTGCGCCTATAGTTAATTTAGTACTAAAAATTGGTATCGTTGCAAACGGAAAAAAATATTTTTAGTTCTAAATTTAGTACTAAATTAATAACTTAATTTAGTGTTAAATTTAGTATCGTGACATACAGCCTTAAGTGTATTTGCCATCAGTATTAGAAATGTTCACTTATTTGGATACATTTCCTATAATTTTTATATTTAAATACATTTTGAAGAGTTAAAAGTCAACACAGAATTACTTATTTTATTTTGAATTATCACTTTTTGTAATTTTTTTTTTTTTTGGAAAATGATTTACTTTTCTTCCTGGAATTACAACCGTATATACACAATAATCCAGGGTGGCCAGACGAAAACTAAACTACTATTATCAGGAACTGCGTCAATATTTAAGCCAAATGTTTATTAAAGAGGGACATCAACTGTCATACGTCATATCATTCCCTTCCCCTGCGTCACTCTAACCAATACAATTTAAATAAAGATAATACAAAATATGACACATCATTGAAAATGTAATTTAATTTTAAAAATAATTCAACAATATCACTATTGGAAGGCTCAGACAAGGCCATGACAACCCCCGAACCCTTCTGTGGAGTTGCTAAGGCATCCACCAAACAATAGATGCAAAAAAGGAATGGTGGAACAACTATCCAGACTGAGACAAGCCAAAGAGTTCATTAAGGAACAGACAGCCAAATTTACGAAAGATCTAAATCAAAAACGACAAATCGTTAGGATAATAATTGATCTTATTATCAGACACTGTTGCTTAAGACGACACATGGCTGTCGAAAATCTAGCAGCAGAAGTAACCTTAACCTTGTGCAGGTTCTGTGAAGATGAGGAAACATCAATCGACGTCCTATGCCAGTGTGAAGGCCTGGCTAGATTTAGGTCAAAAATAAACAGCTAGTGCCATACCTCCAGTCCCGATTTTCGTTGGGATACAAGATACTTCCATGGCTATATGCTCAACAGGATTACGGTGTTATAAAACGTGTTTGCGTCCGACTTTATCGATACAACAAACCCTTTGATTTGGCACGCTAATATTCCACGACCGGTTTCGCCCTATTTGGCGTTCATCAGGTGAGAAGAAGTCAGCTCGAGTACAATCTCTTATCTACTCTGAAAATAATTTGACTAATCGAACATGAAAGTCTGTTTCAACCCACATAGAGCTTAAACAATCACATCTTCACTTAAATGACCAAATCAAACTCCGGCGTTGAATAGGAATCTACAGTTTCCCGATGAAAATCAGGACTGAAGGCCTGGAATTCGCCGTTTATTCTTGATCTACGTATTTGCCTTCCATTTGAGAGTGACATCAGTCATCTATTTTATTTTTTGGTTTTACTTCTGCTTAGTTAATTAACAGCTCTACACTCAGCTTTACATATTTTTGGATTAGTATGTATATTTTATTTATTTTTTACTAAAAAGCAACGCAACCAATCCTATTTCATAAGTTAAAGCATTTTTTGTTTTAAAAAATTTCACTGTTTTACAGTGTTTCCAATTAAGTCAGCACCATATGGGAAACTTTTTTTATTGTTAATTTTATGGAAACAATTTATTCCATATTAAAAGTTCTGCATGGTCTAAAATTTAAAATACAACCATCGGATATTAAAAGTACTGAGCCATATACGCACCTCGTAAACCGATTAAATTTTTTAAATCTAATGGTTGCATTTTAGGTTTTAGACCATGCAGAATGAAGTATAACTTTTTTCGTAAAATTAATAACAAAATTTCTCATATGGTGCCGACTTAATTGGATACACTGTATAACAAGCCTTAATTAATTTTTATTGTACAAAATGTACATAACATGAGTAGATACAATCCTTACATTCAGAAAATTCAACTAAATAATTTTGTCAATCTGGCTTGTATTGTTCGAAACACTGTGTGTTGCCCTAAACTACAGATCTCCGCTGCTTTACAAAATTTCTTTCAACATCTAAGTCCAAAATATCGCGATTATATAGTGTGTTCCATAAAGTTGGATCCATATGGGATTTTTTAAATATTATGATTGGAAAAAAGTGTCGTAGATCAATCGCTTCTACTTATTTAAAAACTTAAAATAGCCCATATTAAAGTTGGCTAGGTACTGAAATAGTTATCTAGTCATATATTGATTAATATAAAAAATATTGAAAAAATAATTTATTTTTTAACAAATCGTTCAAAAAAATAAAAAAATTAATGCGAATTTGACAAAAATCTAATGTCAGTAGACAACTTTTAAGTTTTTAAATATGCAGAAGCGATTGCCCTACGACGCTTTTTTCCAATCGTAATATTAAAAAAAATCCCATATGGATCCGAACACATCCAGGGCCCGGCAGCTTTGGGTGAGGACCTTTTTTTATTTTAGAAATTTCACTAAAGAGGGAGGAGAAGTTTTTGCTTCAAGGTCTTTTTTTTAGAAATGTGACATTGAAAGGGCCTAATTTTTGTATAAAATTGTCGCGGGGTCGACCTGGAAAATTTTCCCGGGGCCCGACCTGGCTTTCGGCGGCCCTGACCACACCGTTTAAATCTTCTAATAACTTTGCAAGTTTTGAAACTTCAATAAAATAGTAAGCTGGAACCCCTTTCCTTCCAATATTGGCTCTGGAAAAATGAAGTAAAGAAAATTTCAGGTTCTGACGCCTTCAGAAAAATGGTTTTAATGCGGCAGTGTGTGGCTCGGAATCGGTTGTCGAACATTACATGTTTTTCGGCAGAGCAAGGAGTTGCTCCTGTTGCTTTTCCAGAAGTACGCTGGTTAATTTTTGTATGTTTATCCTTGCCCTCACCTGAAATCAGGTATGATCTTTATATCAAACTTGGAAAATGGTGTTTCGGTCTCTCGTTTCCGTATCTATTTTCGTGTTCTTCTGAAATTTCAGTATTACTGGAATGCTTAGATCCATACACACCATTGTCGGGAATAATTTTTATCTAAATATTCAGTGATTCACCGACAAGCAATTTCTTCTTCATATTTGAATGTCCATGGTGTTTACCAGTTAAGCAGATGTAATAATTACAAATAGAGTCACCAACCGAGGTATTACTTGTATTCTTTGTTAAAAAGATATCTTAATAGTTCCGACATATTTTTGAAAAATCTTTTAACAGTTTCCCGCTCGTGTTCTTGAAGAATTTGACGACACGTAAATTATCGAAGGAAATTTAGTATTAGTTGGATCAAAATTATCTTTATTTTTGTTTATAAATTATTCATGATGGTCACTGATTCGAAAATGTTCTAACTTTTTAGAAACGAGATTTATTTTTCGTCCATATGAAGCACAATTTTTTTTCCATTATGGACACATTGATGATTCAACATTTCAAAGATAGTGAACACGCATTAAGTAGCAACCGAAAAGATGACAATGCACATGAGATAGGTTTCGTGAAATCACATACTAACGTCGGTGGTTAGTACTCTATTATGTTCCCCGATCAAACATATTATGTATATATGTGACATTCCCTTCTCAATAGACAGCAAGAGAAAATATATGAAATGAAAAAATCTAAGATTCATGAAAAAATCATCTAGTCAAACAGCTACGATTTTGGAACTAACATTTTCTAGTTTCTAGACATCAAATCTATTATTTTCCATTTATCCCTTGAGTCGTAATTGTACCGAAACTTTCTTTCCCTTCCTGACACCTATGGGGTGGGGAAGGACGTATGAGAGTTGATAGAAAAATGGTTCGTCATACGGTCAGACCATTCAAATTAAAAAAAAAAAAAAAAATACGACGTAAACTGGTAATACTTGCAAAACATAAATAATAACCAATACATCCGGTCCATGTCCCAGCCACGTGAAGGAAAGTATAAAATCAAACATAAATTGTTATTACTTACTCTCGCCTAAATCTAGCCACAATTTTACAAACATTGTCCTTGGCATCTTGATCCCATATAAGCTCCGGGTGTTCATGGGCACTTTCGAACATATTTACTGAAGCTTCAGGACTATCACGCATAGCATCAGCGAATATTGGCGGTAAAAATGCTCCTAATGCCAATCTTACTTTGGGTCCAATTAATTTGTCCAAATTCATTCTGGCTAATAATTCCGCACACGTTTGTCTTATATTAGGATTTGTTGAATTACAATAGAGATCCAAGAGGTAAATAACCTACAAAGTCAAAAATGATCCATTGTTAAAAATACACTCTATAAATAAACGTTTTCTTACCGCCCCCTTATTTAAAGCTTCCTTGACAATTTTTGTAGTCGTCATCAATTGATATAATGTCTGCAGTGTCTGAGGCTGCGAATCTTGTAAAGTGTACAATACCAACAAAAGATAACCCAGTACTTCACTTGCTGCTATATCACCAATACATTCATTATTTCTCGTTACCAAAGAAATGACGTTGAGGGCTCCCTTCTGAATGGGTATATAGTTGACGTTAAGTAAACTAAAAAGTAACCTAAAATGACCAATACACTGCATCTCTACACCACTATTATTCCTTATCACATTTGTTAAAGCTTCAAGAGTCATCACAGATTTTGTTAACCTATCTTCTATGGTAACCGAAAAGGCGATATTCACTAAATTAAGGAGGTCGCATGATTGTTCTTTTAGGTAGTTAATGAGCTCTACCACAAAACTCTTCGGATCCTAAAAACAAATATTTTTGAATTACTTGCCTGCTGAGGCAAGGTTGGATTGGTTTAAACTACTAAAATTTTGACCAAAATTTAAAATTAGCGCTAAGACACCCACTCAAATATACTGAAATATACTATAAATAATACATTTTTACCCAAATATTGGTTTTGAATTTACTACAGTATTTGATTGTATAAAAAGTCTGTAAAAAATTACCTACGTGTGTTATTGTTAAAACGAAATCTTTTCACCTCTGAGTAAAGTTGAAAGCAACTACTTGCTGATTAAACTATAGGGCTATATTTCGTTAATCTGTAAAGTGAACCTACATGTAACTTTACTCAGAGGTGAAAAGATCGGCCCTTAATTAAAAAGAAATATACGTTTGAGAAATAAAATACACTTACCTTAATAGGATAGGTAGGTTGTTGATTGTATACTTTAATAAATATACCACCAATTTTGTGTTCCCCGACATGGGCAGAATACTTGAATTCATTCGTTATATTAAAGTCTATTTCATTTCTACTACTACTTTGAGTTTCCAAAAAGTCTATTAGTTCTGCTCTAGTACCATTATCCCACAACAAGTAAGGAGTCTCACTGTTACTATTTAATATTTTCAATATCTAAAAAAATTGATTTTAATAATCTGGAAGTTTTTTTAATGTAATGATTTTTAATATAAAAGAGAATTCTTAAACAGCATATTATTACCTCTTCAGGTTTTTCATCACCAAGTTGTTCACTGACGTATCCAGTCAACAGTTCTCTAAGCATATCTCTAGTTAGAGTGTTTGGAGGTGGTTTATCTTCACCCTGTATATAGCCTCCCAAAGCTGCACAAGCTTTGACGGCTTTTTTGGCAAGCATATTACTGACTTCTTGTTTATTAGCATCTTCACTTTTCTCAACTCCACCTTCATCTAAAGTGAAATCGTAATTGAACATGTAAAGAAGAAGGTACCATAGAGCTCCAGATTTTAGAAGTTCCATTTGTAAAATTGAATCCATAGACAGTGCAGTTACACATTCCGTTGCCACTAAACAGAGTTTAGTCAAGTGCTGAAAATAAACAATATATTATATAAAGACATTAGAAAGGCTATACGAAAGGTACATAAGGGATGTGGTGATTACAATAACACCATTACACCCAAATCAACATGCATACACCCCAGGCAGATCTACTGATTCAGCCCTTCAGTTAGATCCTGGACAATAAGGAGTCCGCCTTGAGTGTTTTCATAGACATAGAAGGTGCTTTTGATAAAATCACCTTCCCCAAGATAATACTCACTAACCTACAGGAATATTCCTCAGATGGTTAGTGGGTGGATATATAACATGCTCTCAAAGCGAGCAGTAAACATATGTATAGAAGATCACCTCTATTGTGGAACATGATCCTCGACAGCCTCATCAGCCGCCTCAATAATGACATTCACACACAATAGCGTATGCAGATGATCTGGTCATTCTGCAAACAGGGAATTTTGAGAACATACTCTGTGAAAGAATGCAAGTAGCTCTCAAAATTATAAAACAGTGATATAAGGACTATTCACTGTCTATCAATCCTAAGAAGACAGAAATGGTAATTTTCACAAGGAAAAGGATGAAAATGGAATTAGAGCCTCCAGAACTCCTAAACAGAAAACTAAACTTTGCAACAGAGGTGAAGTACCCATGTCTCACCTCTAACAGCAAGTTAACATGGAACTCACACTTAGAAAACAGGGTCAAAAGAGCATTCATACATCGCTTATGAACAATGCCGCCGAACCGTGGAGAGATTGCCCGACATTCTCATTTATTAGATGATTTGTGTTCGGCAAGTATCGGCTAACACCGTCCGATATAAGAGAAATACCTCTTGGCGACGTTGTCAACTATATTAAAAATGTAGGCTGGCCTAAGAGCTTGGAGGTATCTACTACCTTAGGAGGATGCATAATGGACTTAGCGAGCCTAAATGCCGTGGGTCTAATTCAACGATGAATAAATAATGTTGTTAACAAAAACCGAATTACAAGCATTCACGGTGTTTTCTACGTAGTTGCCAAGTTATTATGATCAAATTATTACGTGTTACTACCGTAACAGGTATTGAAATAAATCCAAAGGAATTTAACTTTGCACGATGATGAACAGAAATAATCGAAATTAGTTCTGTTTCATCTTAATAAATTGTTTTTATGTGGTAGCGAATTAAAGTTTTATTCTACTTTAAGAAATACACCTCAGTTTTGTTTAAAATAAGCTCTATAATGGTAAAAATTATTTTCCCGAATAATTCCGATGCTATACTAAGAATTAAGCAATCCTTGATTCATCAGCATGGTTCTCTGAGCTTTAGAGTAGTTATTTTGTTTCATTTTGTAGGTTAGTGTTCTGCAATGATGGTGTTCGGGTTGTATATGCAGTTGTTAAATTAAAAAACGATTTTTTTGGCACTCCTCCCTATTATGGAAGGTAAGTTATTTAATAAAAAGATTAAAATTGCAGGCATAGACTAGAACTCGAATATTCAGGATCAGTGATCTTAGGTGACTTAGATTTTGTATGCTAACCTCATTGGCTTACTTAATTAGTCTTATTGGTACTTTTCAAAATAACATTTTTGCACATTCTAGGAGAGTCTAAATAATAATATGTTTTAATATATACATAAATTTCAATAACGATTATAAAGCAAAATAAATTCGAAAATAAATAAAATATATAAACAAAGTGTGACTTACTTTAAAGTAGAGAATTCTACACAAATCTTTGACCAACTGTTTCAAATCAACAATACGTTCCCTACAAGCAGGAAACAATGCAGCCACTGTAAAACATCTTGTTATATGGATACAAACTTGAACTGGAACCTCGTCAGATTTAGAGGAATTGTTAAGGACATTAACACATCTAGTATATGCTTCTAGCATAACCTAAAAATAAAAATATTAGATTTTGCCTAAAATTAATATTATTCGTACTTCAAGTCCATTTTCTCTTCTCAATTCTTCAGCATTTAATGCAGAACAATGTACAGTATGATATGCTAATTCACAAGCAGCAGTAAGAAGTGGGGCATTTTTGGAAAACAATTGTTCATCAGCGGTCTCTATTTGAATGGTTTTTATTAGTTGTGGATAACCAGCATACTTGTAAGGTTGCAAGTCTAAACAAAAAATAGACAATAACAAAAATTTTAATTTTAAATATGTACAAATAATTACCATCCGAGTATCTTCGGAATAGTATACTTTGGGTTTGTAGTACTAAAACTATATTGTTAGGATTAGGTCCATCTCCACTCCAACTTGTGCGGCTACATAAAAATTCATAAGCTTGATTGACTTTTTCAAACATTTCCTAAAAACAAAAATTATACTCTAAATAAACAATCTCAAGCAGTCTGTAGTTAATTTTCTCCACAAAAAAATCTAAATATAATGGACTAGGTACCTATACTAGTGTATGTCTCAAAAGTTTTGGCACAATTGACAAAAATAAAAAAATGCAAACAAAAGTATTTCAATGATTTGTCAGTTATAAAAATCGATTGCATAGTAATGGCTTACAAATTAGAACTTTGTAAAAGCGTTTATAATTTACTTGGATAGATGTATATGACTATCAGCAACAGATGTATTTGCAGTAATGGTTTTATTAATGTATAAATAAATATACAAGTAACTCAAATTACGCAAATTCCTACAATAACTTAAATGAAAATATAGAACTAACAAATTTTCTATTACTGTTCCTTGCTGTGCTGAATATTCTCTTCAGTAGATTTTTTGAATTCGTTTTGTTTACCTAAATTATATCGCTTTTTTAATTTTATAAATATATTCCTAAAGTAAGTAGATACCATACATCAAATATACAATAGTTTAGTTACCAATTACATACCTTTAAACTATTTTTTATGACTTGTAAACAATATTTAGAAATAAACTAAAAACAGTAAAAACGTATATGTCAAATTTAATGATGTTTTTGTAAAAAGTTTGGTTAGAATTAAATGTCAGTGGAACCAAAATGACATCACACAATTTTATTAATGTTTTTGATTAAGACCTAGCTTTTAGAAAAGTAACATCAACAAAGATCATAGAAACGAAACAAGGTAAAAAAATATACATACTAGCTAACCTACCGCCGGCGGTCGGCTAGCCAGTACGAAAAATATATGGTGTTCTATTTTATTATAAAAATAGTTCAACATTAATCGCAACTGTCTGACTTTTTGTGAATAAAAATGTGACGCAAAGAATCATATCGAGTGATGGCTGTCGCAAAACAACACCGGACAAATCATCGCACAAGAAATAAGCATTGACAAATGGCGCTTCGAGAAAACAGCGCCAAGATAAAAGGTCGCCATAACATATTGGCTTCGGGACAAATAGGCTTCAACACAAAATAGCACAATAGAACAATAAAGCGCTTAAGAATAATATACAATTTGAATACATAAACTGAGACTGTAAAGTACTTATTAGTATATTCACAGTGGTTATGATCTAATCCTACACATGAACTCAGATGGTTGAATCTAAATATAAAATATATTAAAGAAATATTTTACTAGTACCTATTCTAATTAAAATTAAAAAACTTCTCATTTTAGATAAACATTTGTCTTTTAAATAGCAAAAATCTGAATTAAGATTTTTTAAGTAAATGATCTAAAAAAAATTTCAAAATAATTTGTCTTAAAATTATTTGTTCAAAAATAATTTGTCTAAAAATGATTTGTTCAAAAATAATTTGTTCAAATATAATTTACCTAACCTGGGCACGAAGCTTTGCACAAAAAAATAATACATAAAATGAGAGAAATTAAAAACAACTTAACTAAGTTACCTAACCTGTTCGACCTAGAGCCATCAACGAGCTACCCAGATATTTTGAAGTAATTGATAAATTTAAAAATGCTGGAACATGTTTATTTTTAATCCAAAAGGAACATCTTTTTAGAATATAGACCTATTTTAAATATTAAATTAACACCCTGTATATTTTTCTTTTCGGCTGTTGTTAATGTTATTTATTATTTCTAATATGAAGATATAATTAATTTCAAGGTGATTCAAGAGGTTTTGTTTTATTTAATCAATATACATTTTAATGCTTAGGTATCCTTACTTATATATACATTTTTATTTTTTGTTATCGCTATTTTATACTGGTGCTTTTTTGTTCTGGTACAATTTTTTACGGCACTGAATTATTCGCCTTTATTTTGTCCAGTACCATTTTGTGACGGTGTTGTTTTGTCGCAACAGACGCGCATATACGGGGGGGTTTAATGGGGGTAAAAAGATCGGAAGCCTGCATCTGCCTGAGCAAGAACAGGCTACGTATTGTAACAGGGATCCTTACCGGGCACTGCCGACTAAAAGGACACCTAAGTAAACTGAGAGTAGTAGAGGATAGTGAGTGCAGATTCTGTGAGGAGGAGGACGAAACCTCCATTCACATCCTAACTGAATGTGTAGCACTCCAGAATCCAAGGGCACTATATCTAGGAGGATATCAAATAGAAGAGGGAGACTTACCTAACTTGAAGCCACTTCAAATCCTACACTTCCTTGAGAAAATAGGATTGAAAGGGTCGCTATAGGCATTGAGACATTTCCTTAGTGCAGTGGCGACAGAAGGGGGCACAATAGATCTTTTAGGTCGCAGTGTATTAACACCCCATTATCAACATAACATAACATAACATAACATGGGGGTAATTACCCCCCAAGAATTTTTATAGGTACTAAAATGTAGTATCTTAAATCGAGGAGGAAACATCTATGGTCAAAACCTACCCGTATTTCGGAAATAACCTATTTCTGTTTTGTTTTTTTTTACTATTCCCTTATCTTTTGATCCACAAGCTGCTGCATTTACATTTTTGAGCAACGAATTGATTTCGGCGATGATTTCGACAATGATTTTCGAGAAAATTTGTAGTGATTTCGAGTTAAAACGTACCAGTATTTCGGGAGTGGTTTACCCTTCGTCTTAAATATTACCACTACCTCCCCCCAGACTTACTCTGGATGTGCAACTGTATCGCATCGCTGTTAAGTCAACACTAACTTGTCCGGCGCTATTTTGTAACAGAGCCATCGTGTGACAACAGAATGTGAGAAAGGTTTACCATGTCTAAATCTTCAGAAAAGTGGAAAACCTAAACTGTTAACCGTATACAAAGCAAATCAGTTAATCGAAAGTAACAAAAATAAAATTGGACAATCACTGAGAAAATTTTCACGGCGTTTCCAAGGATACAATTTCCAGAAAAGAGAAGTGTTGCATATCGTAAAAGAAATAAATGTCTGAAATGTGTGTCAAATCATTTAGCTTGAATACCGGGATATTGCCGTAATTATAGGCGGACTAATTTTGTAAATAACAAAGTCATCGTCATGGATGATGAAATAGCTATTAATGAACCAGTTGCGAAATGCCTTATTTATGTAACGAGTGAATATTTGCGGGACGAGCAGAGCGAGGTCCCGCAACATAAACGAGTTACATAAAACGGCATTTCGTAACGTGTTACATACAATATTTTTTCTAATTTTGACTAAAATTTGACCAAAATTGTGTTTTGGTTAAACGTTACTGACATTTAGGCAACCAATATTACTTTCTTGTATTTTAAGTTACATATGCATCATTTTATTGACAATTAGAACTATGATTAGAACATCATTAGTAATCATTTATTCTCAACGACTTATATTGTTTATTAAAGTTATTTAGCTTTCAAAAAGGTAGGTTATTTTGTCGTATATTGTGTTTTAATTATTTTGTGCAGATTTGGACTGGAAAATAAGAACCAAAGCAACATTATTAATAGGTTGTAACTTTAACTAAATTATATTTTTATAAGTCAACCTGTCCTTCTTTGATATAAACTTTCAATAATTTTAAAACCAATAAAGGTATATTTTTATTTTCATTTTGCAACTGGTGACGCAATGAATTTTTTCGAACCTAGCTGCATAGTATTTAACATTATGTAACAGGTTGCGTAAAGTAGATCATTTTGACACTTGCTGCGATTACAAAAAATGTCACTGTATGTGTCATATTTAGAAAAAGGAGCTTTACTCTGAGTAATTACGAAATAAAAGGAAATGACGGTTTTTACAGTCGCTATGTAGAATAACGCAACATAAAATACAAACAATAGGCCAAATTTTCTAAAAACTTTTTAATTGGTGGGACTTCCAGACCTTATGTGGGAAGAGTAGGAGGCGAAGCTCTCTGGACCTGGACAGTCAAAGTTATATTCACAACTGTTTCACAAAATTAATTAATTTTATCGACCAGTATCATGTTCAAGATGATATATTATGTTTTGGCCGGACTTGAATTCAATCCATGTGAAACTTAAAATTGGCTGAATACTCACAACATATCTTTTGTGCCAAAAAGATGCGAGAACACCCCAAATTCACTTCAGACTCGGCCAGTTAAACATTATTGGGCCATTTTATCTCGAAAAGTGTATCATGGGGGTTGAGAAGCCGAAAACGATTGATGTTGAAATGGTCAAAGAACTGATGGGATATGTTCCCAGAAGACTGTAAAGTTGAAGACCATGGATCTTTACTTTTAACTTAAAATAAAAAAATTATTTATAAAGCTGTTAATTATACCTAATTTGAAAAATTACCGTGAAACCATTGTTACTTTTTTAAATTGTATAAAGAAATTTGTGTCAAAACTTTTGAGATAAGTTATTAGTAAAACTATAAAACATTTGGGTACAAAAGAATTTTCATCATATTTGATTTTTAATGCTTACTCTTCCTTCGGGGTTTTTGTCAGGATGGTACTGTTGAGCCAATTTATAATAAGCTTTTCTCACAGTTGCTTCTTCATGATGATTGTCGTCAAGGCCTAAATTTTGATAGGCATCTTTTATGGTCATTAATGGAGGTTTTTTCTCTACTTCGGATCTCCAGGACTCCAAAACATCTTTTAACAATTGAATCTAAAATAAACAATAAGAAAATATTGAATTATTTGCTAATTAATATATGCTATCTTAACTTTTCAACTAGGTATTAATAGAATTTTAAAAAGCTGTAGAAAATGACTTATCTAGTCCTCCACAGCACGCTACTATTGTGAACAGTGGCTATAATAGAAACTAATTTATATATACATGTTATATTATTTAGTATTGCAGTTTCCAATTTTACTTGCAGCCAAAAAAATTGCGAACTCCAAAGTGGATTTAATATATTATATCTTTTATTTAGTCAATAGGATAATCTTACAAACATACATTTAATTCACAATTTAAAAGCATATAAATCACAGGTAAAATTTTAGATGTCCCAAATCAAATAAAATAAAAAGTAAAATATCTAACATATATGTATGTAAGTTCCATGATATTAGGGATTTATACAGAATAGCACACTTAAACCAAAATTTACAAAATCCAAGAACGCTACTCGTTGAATTTGTACATTATAAATTATTGCAAAGTATCTTAGAAAACCAGGCGTATCTAAAATCTTCAGAAATTTCCATATCGAGAGACTACATCCCAGAAGATTATCAAGCTCGTAAATTACTACATAAATATCTAAAACTAGCAAGACTCGACCACCAGGAAGCACACATAAAAAAGAACCAACTGTTTGTATAAAACAACAAACAATTCACGGCAAAAAGACTAGGAAACCTTACCGAGGATGTATTTATTACTGAAATAACTGATGCATCTAATAAAACATCTACAATATCAAAAAATCAAGAACCACCAAATACGATCGAAGCTCCAACTAAAAGGGTTACTAGATTTGCTAGCCAAAATTCCCAGCAGCACTAACTAATTTCACATTTTCTAATTATATTATCTTTTCAATGTTCAAGTTTTCTTTTCTTGTGATTCATCTTTTAAAAATATTGTGCAGTTTGTCTATACCTTACTCATTTCTAAAATTATATTAGGTACCTATATACTTGTAAAATTTCTTTATTTTATTATATTTAATAAGTAAACCTAACCGGCGCAAAAATGAATCCATATATTCGACTTGTCAATTACACTCCTGTAAATACAATAGAAATTAATGATCAATTAAATGCAATTATGAGCCAACGTGAAAATAAAAAAAAAGTTTAATTTTAGTTTATTTCATCAAAACATTAGGGGTATTAGTAAAAATATAGACGAATTAAGTATACATTTAAATCAAATTTTCTTCAACTTTAAAAATTCCAACAATTTCGCTGTTCACTCTACCCGGATATGATATTTTATACAATGAGGGTGATTTAAATAGGAATGATGAGTTGTATATATCAAGAAAACGTTGAAGAAGGAAAATTGTTCCCATCAACATATTTAAAGCACTACAAATTGAAATAATTGATGAATACAACAACTCCACATTGGTGACTCTCTTGTATAGATCGCCATCGACGAAGTAAGCCATATTCATTGAAGGATTGAGAAATTATTTAACAGAAACTAGAAATGTCCAAGCAAAATATCACATTATAGCAGCGGATATTAATATAAATATTGAGGTGAAAAACGAAATTTCATCTGAATATTTGGATTCTCTTAGGAAAACGACTTTATCTCTCTTATCAATAAAAGTACTCGTATCCAGGGAGAAACAAAGAGTTGTATAGATCATATATTTGCTAAATGTATCCTTGATCCCGAAACAAATTGTATATCGGCAGTACCGGATCTTAATGTAACTGACCACAGAGCTACCTTTATTACTCTTCCAGCTAAAATAGTCAAAAAACTCACATGAACGCATGATAACACAAATAAATAATAAAAAAATTAAATCCAAATTACGAACATATGATTGGAGCTATATGTACAACTCACTGGATGTAGAAAATCTTACAGAGATTTTCATAAGTAATTTAAAAAAACTAATAAATGAAAATACTAAATTAATGAAATAAAAAAAAAATTAAATTAAAAAAAAATTATGGATAACTCAAGGGATTATTAGTTCAATTAAAAGAAAATATTAATAATAAGAAACAAAATTTTAATAATTTTGAAATAATAAGTACTTTTGTAAAATATAGAAATAAATTGACGAAACTGATAGCAGAAGCGAAGAAAAACTATTACCAAAAAGAAATCAATAAACATAAAAATAATTCAATGGGGTTGTGGAACACAATTAAACAAATTAATAAAAGCAATAAAACGTTAGATATAGAAGAAATATTTGATGATGAATATAGTACAGTAAAAGATATGTGGCAAATATATTTAACAGCTATTCTGAAAATGTCGGCGAGCTATACGAAAAACGCATTATGAAACCAAATCCACGTCCTGCTTTTAATCCTTACAAATTTTTCCTAGAACCTGTAGACGAAAGAGAAATTAAAAACAATCAACTCACTCAAACCTCACAAGGCACCAGGTTCCGATAACATTAAGATTGACACCATAAAGCACATTGCTGATGAGATAAAACAACCTTTAACATTTATAATTAACAAAATTTTCGAAACGGGCATATGTCCTTCCCACTTTAAGCAGTCAATAGTAATACCAGTTTATAAAAAAGGAGATCGGAAAAATGTATGTAATTACAGGCCAATTTCTTTAATTACCTGTATAACTAAGATTTTCGAATCATCTTTAATCGATAGGCTAATGGATTTTGTACTAAACCTAATTTAATTTCTAATAAACAATTAGGGAAAAGCATATTCAAAATATTACAAAAACATTAAGATGTCTACTTTTTAAATTTAAATATTTAAGCACAATCTTGAGTATAAATCACCTAAAAATAATTTACTACTCACTTGTTGAGTCTAGGCTACAGTATGGAATACTAGCACGGGGTGGGATTTATCAAGTTCATCTAAGGGCATTAGAGATAATTCAGAAACGTATACTGAAAATTATACTCAAAAAATCTCTTATTTTCTCAACAGATTTACTTTTTCAAGAATCTCAAGTGCTTGATATTCGCCAACTATTCGCCCATTCAATCTTAATTTCAGCATTTGAAAATAGAAATAAAGTACTACAGGATATTGATCACTCATAGAGTACTAGACAAAAACTTCTCATTTTGTTAAAATCTTGTCATCAAGAAAGACTGTAGGACAAAGGTGTTTTACTTACTTGACACCAAGGCTTTTTAATTCACTACCAGAAATTCATAAAATATACATTAAAACAATTAATTCCACAATTGTCATTAAAAAAGTTTTCAAAAAATTCCTAGCTAATAATGAAAGAAAATATATACATAATTTGATAGATTCAAAATAATCATATGCCAAATAGGTACATACTTTTTATTTATTTTCATGTCGTCCCTATATTGCCACTATGTATCCACTTTCTCTAGAATGCACTATGTATCCATAAGCTTTAGAATACTATATACCTAATTAAGTACTGTCCTTTGATAAAAATATGGTATTTTTAATTGAGGTATTATATTATATTTCTTTCTAACATTCATTAGTTGCAAATAAACATGTTCAACCCGTGCACAACCATTGGTTTTTACGGGATCACCATTGTTTATTTACATCTATCCTCTTTAAAAATAAATTTGGATTTTTGCTTTTTTTTTGTAAATAATATATTAAAAATATTGGAGACCCAAAACACTTCCCTGAGGTACCCCTTGCAAACTATCTAAATTGTCTGAATATGTGTAAACTATTAATTTTTTATTCCCTATTTTGTTATGAATTAAAATAGTTGATAAATTTGTAATCTATACACATAACTAAGTAGAAAGGTGGACGAGACAATTATTTTTTTGGACTGTATTAGCAATACGATGCATAAATTGAAATAATATAAAAAGTTTGTTTCTGATAGAGATTCAAGTATTTACTCCAATATGTCAAAAGTCACCTCAAGGATGGAAGTAGACAAGAATAAATGCAAAAATCATGTAATAAAAAATTATGGATAGCTAGTACAAGTTTTAGAAAAACACATAATTAAATTTTAAATGAAGAAAATTATTAACCTTCTCTAAAATAAAAAACTTTTTATTTCTAAAATAATAATCTAAGAAAAACTTAATGAATATATGAAAATTCTTAAAACGGTTTTAGAAAATAGTCCACATGTCCACAACTTCATATTTTGAAGAAGTAACTTTAAATGATAAAAGATTTTTGGAAAAGCAATATTTTCAAATTAAAAGAATTTTATAAACAATATAATATGCTGACCGAAATAATGTATGGAAATATTTCTAAGTCTGAAAGCAAAAGATCCGCATAATTGATAAATTATCTTATTATTTGAAATTTGTATCTAAATATCCGCTAAAAATATTACATAAATGAAATGACTCAAATGAATAGTCATAACTTTTTACTTTGTTGTACAGTGTGTTCATAAAATGTGTGTCCAAACTTAAAGATGCTATTCCTCACTCAATTTTAAGATAAATTGTTCACATAAAAGTAGGTCATTGGAGTAATCCCTAGTAATATTAAAAAACTTTTTGCTTAAAATACTTTTTCATTAACATTAAAAATTGCCACCAAGTTTCAACTTTTTCTTTCACTAATTATTTTAGGAAAAAACAATTTATTTTTCAAAACTACTTTCAACAATAAAGCCGTCTAGGACCTAAGTTTATATGAAGCTTTTGCCTTAAAATTGAGTAAGGAATAGCACCATAAAGTTTAGCCACATTCTTAATGAACATCCTGTATTTTTTTTACTTGTACTGCAACATCCAGTATCATGTTTTTTTGATTTTCGTGAAAAAAAAAACAAACAATAAAACTTTGAATTATCTATGAATAACTATCTTTTTATTTTTAACGTCTTGAAATGGGGTGATAATATGGCGGCATTAAGTAGGTTATATTAGGTTTACAAAAGAATTGTAGGGGTATCTTAAAAAAATTTCACTTACAGGATCCGGTATAGGCCAGTCGGGAAATTTATGGTTATCACAGAGATGTCTCAAGTAAAATATATTGCAGAAAAGTTCATGCTCTAACTGTGGATATCTAACTGCAGGAATCGGTATGTAATGATACCTCACCATGGTATGACTTCTTAATCTAGGAGTAAAATCTGCAATGTGGGCTGCTACTTTTTCAATCAGCATTCGTCTGAAATTAAATTTACACCAATCTACAGGGTGTTCCAAAAAAGTAGGCCAATCCGATAACCATAGATTCCTTAGGTCAGTGTAAGAAACTTCGATTATTATTTTTTTCGATTGGGACCATCAAGTTCAATATACAGTAAGACAAAGTCAATTATACAAATACGTTTTTCATTATATGTTCGTTGTTTTATTAAGTAGGTAGATGGCTTAAAATTGGTACACCGGGGTTTTTTAGGATGAAAAATCTTAATTTGAGCCTAAATATCACCTACCTCATAGAGAGCGTTCATGCAAGTCCCTGTATATTGAACAATCGAAAAAAATAATAATAGAGGTTTTTTACACTGACCTAAGGAATCTATGGTTAACGGATTGGTCTACTTTTTTGGAACACCCTATATAATTTAAATGTGTTTAGAAATACCATGTACTTAAATCTACTTAACTATTTCTTTTAATGTAAAATAATAACTTTATTTTTTTAAATATTATTAGAATCATATAGAGTTTTGGTTTTTTATTTAGACAAGTTTATTTCAGGAACACAACTTATTTTTAGTGATTGATATACAGAGGGCATTGATTTAATTAAGTTTTGTGAGTGACAAGTAATAGTAGGATTTTCTGGAGTTTAGATATAAATTTGTCTTTAATCTTCTAAATGAAGTTTAAAAGAAATTAAATATCTCCAAGTAGTAAAAAACCTCAAGTTAAGAGAATTACTGGAGCAGGGTTCAAATGGATATAATTACAATGATTCTAAAACAAAATATTTACCTCATTTCGGAATTCCATATGGCTTCAGGAGTATCAAATTCTCCAAGATATATTTGGGCAAATTTTTCTGCATCATAATTTTCTAAATAATGAATCATGGCTTCAGGAAGTAACCTTCCCAAAATACTTTTTTGTAAAATTGGAGAAGTTTCCTAAAAATAAATTTTTGATATAAAAATAATGGAAACCTATATTTATTTATTCTTAATGAAATATTCAGTACTTGCAAACAATTTAATAACAAAAATCCTTTTTTAAAAATGACAATTACACTTACTTCTTCAGATTTAAATGCCTGTTTCATATGTGTTAATTTCAAAAACCTAGCTATTGGCAGGACATTACTTCCTGTATACATCATAATGAAATAAAATACTCCTGTGGTGTATAGTTTTGACATATCAGGATTATCTTTCATAACTTCGCACAGAAGGCTTGCTACTTTTTCCACAAGTATTGGATCAAAAGTTAACAATAATTGAACGACGTTAGGTAAAGCAGTTTGATCAGAAAGTAATCTTTTTATTTTCGGCAGAGGTCTTATAACTGCATCATCGGGATCTCGGCTTGGATAATACTGACACACTCTAAAAAAGAATCAAACAATAAAGTTCATAATTTGTTACCATTTCGACTAAGCTACAATACAAAAATTCTAATAAAGCTAACACATTCATGTATCTGGATGAGACCTGGATTTACAGAAATGAATCCCAGATTCGTCCACATGTACACGATTCTGATACTAAAAGTGTTCCAACAAAACTAAAATCTGAAAGAAAACGGTTTACTATTTTACATGAAGGTATTAAAAAATGTTCCTAAAGTAGGCCATGACTGACAAAGACAAAGTTACGAGTCATATCCATGATAACTATGAGAGGCTCTGAATTAAATCTAAACTGACAAAAAGAAGAATTGAAGGGCTTATTGGAATAACATGACAAGCCACAATATTAATTTATTGAGGAAACACGTCTTCAGAGGTTAAAATAATCTAAAATAAATAAAGTACTACAACTTTGTTAAAATGCAATAATTTGATTTTTCGGCTAATGATGGTATTTGGTTGAGAATTTCCATTTGGTTTATGGCTTTTGTAAACTTATTTTTTTATTGTAGTGAAGTAAAAATTCCTTTATTTTAAACATTGTCGCTTGTCACGTTTTTATTTATAATAAGCTCGACATACGTGAATTTTTCGAAGGCCTACTTCAGATTTTTTTTGTAGATCACCAAAGAATTCTAGCAACAATGATCGACTCTAACAAACATGAAAAGTGACTTCAAAAGTTATTTCTACTTTATCTAAAATGAGAGATAAAGTTGTAGTGGTTATGGACAAAGATTTTTATAATTCTATGATTATAACCGTTTTCATGATTTATTTTGTAATAAAAAAGTTTTGTATAGATTTTATCATAATGTTTGACAATACACATAACCATAAAATTATGACAAAAACTTTCACTCATATACAGGGTTAAATTTAGTTAACCAACAAATCCAAAATATCATGACAAATGGAACCTTCTTTAAATATATATTTCATAAAGTACTTTAATTATTTTCTTACCTTATTAATATATTTAATATATAAGTAGCCAGTTCACTTTCGTTCAGTACAGGACTACCCTTTGCTAAAAGGTACCATTTAAGTTGAGGTAGCTGAGATAAAGGCCGCCATCCTGTTATGCCCATTGCCCAACACCGCGTTTTATGATTAATTTGACCTTTTTCATACAAATCTTTCATCTAAAAAAATAAAATTAATAAGATTCAGCAATCCTCAGACCTACGTTATAGTATAAAGGCTAAGATTTTTTATATGTGAGTAGATTTCTACATTATAGTAGATAATAACGTTTGGGTGTTATGAATCTTAACTTCGGAGGGATTTTGAAGATAACAGGTCCTCTAGGTATCAAAAAAGTCAGGCAAAAACATTATAGTATATTTGTTCAACTACATAACATAATATCCAATCAACAATTGTTTGACGTTTTTCGCAGGAGTTACATCTGCCATACACATTCAAGGTGTTGAAAAATGTCTGCACTTTATGGAAATCTTGTTTATTGTTAATTTTTCAGAAAATTTTATTCATGATAAAAGTTAGTACATGACCTAAAACCCACAACAAACTTCATATAAAGTGAGCATCATAAGTCTTACCCCCTATCTAACTCGTTACTGGAGTCTTGTTAGGAAAATCGCCGAGACACGTCGATTTTTGATTTCTACAATGTACATTTTTGTATGAATAGTTTACCCTTAATTTCATCCCTTACTGGAGGGGAGCAACCCTTTCGAAATTTAAATGGCATGGGGTGGTGAGTGATAGCTCATTTGAAAGGGGGGTTTATTCTCTATTCAACCGTGTAAAAAATTTTAAAATTTGCATCATTGCGTGTTGATTTATTAATGTTTAAAAATAAAAAAATCTAATGGTAAAAAGTCTTACTTCACGTCTGAACCAAAACCGATATCATGCAGGGCTGAATTTTAATTCTATGGATGAGTGCGCTACGTTAATTTTCGTTATTTTGAAACAATAATTAGTCGAGAATTAACAGTAATATTCATAGAACATGACACATTGGACGGGTCTAACAGTAAAAAGCCAGGCATGACTGCGAGTAAAAGAGCGTCAATCGCGCACATTAGTCCTAATGAAGAGTATTAGTTTGATTCTATCAGTGAAGTCAAACTCACGAACTGGAGAGATACCCCAGGGCTAACTTATTCGAAGGCGTTTATAACCAACCCTTCTATGAACGCCTCTACTCAGATCCGAGAATGCAGTAGGAAAGATCTACGCATTTTCACTGGACTGATGACAGGACACTGCCGTCTGGGCAACCACATGAGAAGGATAGATCTGCAACAAACATCGGACTGTCGATTCTGCAGCGTGGAGGACGAGTCTGCAGAGCACATTCTATGTACCCGCTCCGCTCTAGAAAGAACCAGGTTCCTGATCTTCGGATTTACCCGACTGGAGCCTACCGACTTTAAACAAGTCTCAGCCAATTCAACCATGTCCTTCATCAAAAGGTGTGGCTTGTACGGTGCACTATAAGTTAGTCATGAGCCACAATAGACCGATCTGGGTCGCAGTGGAAGGCGATGAGATCATTCAACCTAACCTATCAGTGAAGTCAATAAGAAATGAAAATTTTTCGTACATTGTTAAGGATTTTTTATAAAAAACGTTTCAGAAAATTTTGTTCCTGATAAAAGTTAGTACATGACCTTATAGCCCCAGTATAAACTTCATACATATTAAATGGGAGGTTAAAAAATATAAATTGTCTCAAAATAAATATTTTTTGTTGGAATTCGAACAGTTTTATGGATAGTGGCTGTGATTTTTCATATTTGCTGATAAATTATGATTTTAAACTAGTTTTTCAAGAAAAATTTTTGTTTTTAAAAATAGGGGTTCTTTACTCTTGAGCTAAATTCATATATTTTTACCTCTCTTGTATATGGTTCATTTTTATATATGTATGAAGTTTTAGTGGGTTTTAGGTCATGCATCAAAGAATAAAATTTTCTGAAAAATTAACAATAAAAAAGTTTTCTATAAAGTGCGCAGCTATTTTTCGCGACAAGTGTTTGGCAATACGCTAGTTCGGTGTAATGTCATTTTGGTTCCACTGACATTTAATAATTCTAACCAAACTTTTAACAAAAACATCAATAAATTTAACATATACGTTTTCACTGTTTTAAGTTTATTTCTAAATATTGTTTACAGGTCATAAGAATTATTTAAAGGTATGTAATTGGTAACTAAACCATTGTATATTTGATTGCACGTTATCTACTTACTTTAGGAATATATTTATAAAAGTGAAAAAACGATATAATTTAGGTAAACAAAACGAACAAAACGCATTTAAAAAATCTACTGTCACTTTAATTGTCAGTGGAACCATAATTACATCATCACTGAACTAGCGTATTATTGATTGGAGATTATAATGTCATCTAGTTGAACATATTAAAAGATACTATAGTACGATACACACTGAGAATGCAGTGTGAAGTCTTATGAAGCGCGTCGTTACCTGCCGTCGCTATGCTGGGATCGAAAAAAAAAAAAAAAAAAAAAAAACAGGTCCGGTCTCAGGCAAATTTCGACACGGATTTAAATTTTATCTCAAAATTTGTATGTTCAATGATAAATAATTAACAATAACTTTCAAAATTACAAATTTATAAGTTAACAAAAAATTAAAAAAACAAATTTTATGCGATAAGTCATTGCAAGTCATTGCAAGTCATCGCCGAGGTCTGAAATCTCACTCTCAGAACTGTCGCCAAAATTTACTCTTATAATGATTTCATCAACGTTGTCTTGGAGATTATCAGCGACCAACATTTCTTTTTCCGTTTTTTCTCTGACATATATGCCACGCAATTACGCCAATTTTATTCAGTGACATGTTCAAATGGTTCATATATTAATGAACAAACATCCTGTGTCTTTAAATCAAAGTTGTTCATAGCTATATAGCGTTTTACCTGATTCCATACCATCTCGATCGGGTTAAACTCGCAATGATACGGTGGTATGCATAAAACAGTTACCCCGTATTTTGCAACTATTTCCTCAATCTTATATTTGTCGCAAATAAAATATCTTTTCAAACAGTTAATTTTTTTATGGTGTTATCACACCATGCATAGTTAACCGTTTAACCCACGTTGATCCAAGTCTCATCTGAATAGATAACGCTACAATCTCGTTGGCGATATTGTTTTATGGTTCTTGAATACCTGTGCCGCCACTGATGTTATAACATTATACTTTTACGACCACACTTCACATATTGAAAATCAATATCTTCCATCAATCTAGATAGGGTTCTTAAAAAGAATGATGGTGAATTCTCATTACATCGAATAATATAAATTGCATTCAAAGTTTGACGGATTGTACACAATTGCTCTCAATAAGCTCTTAAAATTCTCATCATATGTATATTCGCGAAAATTTGACTGCCATATCCGCTTTTTTCTTCTTGCATGAGATTTAAATTCGCCATTGTTTTGTTCCTCCTCTTTCTTCATGGTATAAATTGTTTTTTCGCTAACCCCACTCATGCAACTACATGCGGGAGCCACTGTCAAAGCTACTAATTCTAATAAAAAAGACCAAGATAGACGACATACTCTAAAAAAACGGAGTCCCACAATAGATCTGAAAAGGTCGCGGTGAACAAGGACAAACAACGTCCAACTCGTAATCTAATCTACCGCTGCAGTCACACTCAATTTATCGTCATTGACGTAGCGTGCGGTGACATTTTTGGAAGGGGAAGCGATTGTATAAAAATACAGCAGGCCAGTAAGCATAGCGTCGCAGGCGAAAATTTTTCGCGGCGCATTCACCATTTTGTCAAAATCTTGCTTTTTTTTCTTCAGTACTAAGGATATTCGAGATTGAGATTTTTGAAGTGTTACTATTACTTTATTACCTAGTTTAGTACTAGAAGCTATAAAAAAACTTACCTATAAAAAGCTTCCTTGGTTTATTTAAACGTAAAAAAACATTTAACTGAAGTTTTTTTATGTTTTTCTTCATTTTTCGCACAGTTGACATTTATTTATACTTAAGATCTATTCGCCTATCCTCAATGGTTGCAAATTTGTTTATAACATCGTCGTAAAATTTTGGATTTTCTGATAACTGTTTAACAAGCTGTTTTTCAATGGATATTAGGGCTAAATTAGAGAGTCTGTCTTCACTTGTTGAATTTCGTATAAAACTTTTAATGCGCTTTAAAGCTGAAAAACTTCGCTCAACTGACGCACTTGTGGCTGGGATGGTTAGTACAACTTGACGACTTCACAAAGGGACTTATTTAAACCAGTTGTTATAAGAAAATTTAACACATTGATGGGCGTCTTTTTATCACTAATTTCAGTTGTTTCATAAACAACACTTAAATCCCATGTTTCTTTATTATCCCAAACGTCTTGAAAAAACTTTATCAAAGAATCACGGTATTGAAACACTGTTTGCACTAAACGTCCATTGTAGTTCCATAGCGTCGGAGCAACTTTTGGAAGCCTTCTTTGAACGTGAACGTCCAAAGCGCGAGTTCTTTTCGATGACTGAAAAGAAGGAAGCCAAACCACCAAGCGTCGAAAAGAAAACTTTAATATTATCCATGCTTCGCGATAAAACCAAATTAAGTCTATGTGCTATACAGTGAACGAAAATTGCATGTTTAAACTTTTCTTTCACTTTAGCTTAAAGACCTCCTAAATGGCCAGCCATTCAGACAGCACTATCGTAGCTCTGGGCAACAAGGTTAGAACCACATTCTAAACTTGAAATAATGTCACAAACAATTTTAAACAATGCATCTGCAGTTCGTTCGCTAGTGACGTCCAAAAATCCCAAGAATCGCTCTTGAGGAATGCCATCCAATACATATCGCACAACAATGGATAATTGACTTAAGTTTGCTACATCTGTGGTTTCATCAAGCGCAATTGATACGAAAGGTGCTTTTTTAATTTCACTTCTAATGTGATCCATCACAACGTCGGCAGTGCATTTAATTAAATCATTTTGGATTCTGTTTGAGGTACCTCGGAAAGTCGTCGAATCAATAAAATGATTTTTTAGGGTATTATCGTATTTTGCTAAAGGTCCATGTAATTTCCTCGATTGGCGGATCCACTTGCTTCATTGTGACCCCTAAAACTTAGTTCATGCTCTCCCAGGAAACAAGTTACATCTATTAATCGTTATAAGACGTCCCTATTTTTTTACCCTTTCATTGTGAATTTTGTTGCTTATTTTTAAATGATTGTCCAAACTATGTTCAATGCGATAGGTCCCGAATGTTTTTTCTTTAATTGTAGCACTTATATGAGATTTGCTATTTACATGTCGTTTTACACTTTTGTGAAAATTATTCAAGTCTGTAATACCGACTGAGTTCCAATGTGTTTTTTCGACTATATTAAAAAGTAGGCAAGACCAGCAAAACAATTTCTTCAAAGTTTTGCAGCCGGTTAACCATTCATACTTTTCATACGTGAAAATGCCTGATAAATTTCTTTGCTGATTTTTCTACTTTCGTCTCTAAATTGATAGGATCCTTTAGTCTATTAGAATTAATAATGTCCGTTTTCTCTTCAAAATTTCTACTTGAAAATCCTTTTTTTCAATAAAGAGCACACAATACAGACACAATTTACCACATTATTATTGTTAACAGGCACAGTGCATAGTTCCTCCATTTTACAAAAAGAAAAACTACGAAAAACTAACCGAAATCTACCTAAAATTTTCCTCACACACGTCGATTCGCGGTGCGAATTGCAATATGCGTAAGGCGACGTAATAATCGCTGCTTCTCGACCGTATTTCACGTGCCAAAACAGATTGACACTGTCGCTGCAAAGCAGGGTCAATAACACTAAGCGAAATCACTTGCAAGATGAACAGGTTATTTCAAGAGGCGCTTCCGCTGACAGACCGTTTATACGTTTACACAATTAATTTTCTCATGGGTGGTGCGTGTGTTTACACACCAATGATTTGTTAGTACATTTACGAAGTTTACGTAATGTTTCAGAGAAAATATAGTACCTAATTTAATATTAATTTCTATGCATTGTAAACTTAAAAATATTTATTTTTAAATTTCAAAGTGTAGGGAAGCGGTGCTTCCCCCGCTTCCATGGACCGCACGCCCCTATTAAAATCACAATTTTCGTACTCGCATGGAGCATTTGTCCGCGTTTTAATTTTTTAAACTCCATGTTGCAGGTAATAAATCACAACTGAAACAACCCGAAAAAAATTTATTGAGTAATTAAATGTCAAAAGTTTTGTACAATTCATAAAATTGCATGCAATCGTTCGGAATTAAGTGCATTACAGATTTTTTGTCCTCTATCTTTGTATTTTATACTTTTTTCCTCTAACCCACAGTGGTATTAACTTGCTTAACGAATTTAGTCGGTTGGTTCATTGGCTAACAAATAACGCTAGGTACCAGAATGTGGTCTGGATATTTTTTTGCAGTAAAGGTTACGGTTCTTAATGCAATATTATGCGAAAGTCTAAAACTCACAAATTTGTGAGTTGCTTCCTTTCTGCAGAAAGCCATCCAATTAGGCATCAAGAAGGACAAACGGTCCTCATATATGCAACCAAGAATACATGCTCTAAAAACATTGACTACTACTGGGCCGACCCTGTCACATCTATTGGTCCCGAACTATATAACGTTTTTGCCCGACATTTTTTTGTACTTTGAGGACATGTTATCTACCAAACCCCCTCGTAGTCAAGACTCATAAAATCCCAAACGTTATTATCTACTATAACATGCAGACACATGAAAAGTCTTAACCTTCATACTATAACGTAGGTTTGGCGGTAGCTGATTTCCACACTAATCGACCGTGACAGTATTAGTGTCATTTTCACGAAACAAAGCAAAGTAACCATGACAACGGGATTGTATAGTTGTCAAAACTTTAAATGTGGTTAGCTTTGTGTTGTATCATTCAATTTACCGAATTTACCTTAAATTATCCCATAATTGGTTTAGAAGTTTAGCTTTATCATTAAAATTTTTACTGTGAAGTTTTGTTTTAGAAGGTACATTCAAATATTGTAACATAATTTTAACTACTTAGTAATTAGTTTTAATAGACAAAAAATTGTTATGATGTTTGTCATACATTTGATATATTTCTTTATTTATACATGAGAATTGCCCATCAAATATGTTTTATTATTTGTCGGGCTTGATATGCATCATAAAAAAATTTGAAATAGATTAATATTCTTACCTCGCTAAATGACACTGGTCCTTCTCGTCCCTTTTCACTATTATAATACCATTCCTTTTCTTCCACGATTTTCATGCCAGGACCAGCTTCAATAACGTTCGTTTGCGTTGGTATCATAGCTCTCGAGGTATGAAGGTGAGCCAATGACATTAGATCAACTAATATTTGTACTCCCCCTACGTCAAGTATATCCCGGACATTTCTGTGGTGTAATATTAATTTTTCAATAAATATTACTAACCTGTCTCGTTCCTGGCGGTCAATACACTAAAGCATAACAGTTTGATAATAAAAAATCTGCATAATATGACTATAATAATATATTGTTTATTAAAAAGATAAATAAACTTGCTAACAATTATAATAAAATCATCAAAAAATAAACAATAGTAATCCACAGAAGTGGTTAGAACTACTTGTATTTTGGCTTTACAATTAAAATAATTTTAGTCTCTTCTGCAACCATAATTCGAGTACAATACATAATTAGGTAATTTTTACAAATCTGGTTAAGTTTTGCATACAGTGCTTTCGTAAAGTAGTGAATAAATTCATTTTTAACTAAACTATACATTTTTAAGGAAATTCACGAAATAGGCCCATTTTCAATTTCAATTTGCCACATTTTCAATATAAAGTTATATATACAGGGTGATAAACATGTGAGTAATGACGTAAACGACCATTTTTTAAAATGGGGCCCCCTATACTGCCGTCCTAAAAACATATATCGCATTTACTGAGACCGTCAAGCGGTGAAAATAAGGTTTAAAGATATTCCCTTATTCCTTATTGTTGGATTTTTAATATTTCGAAAATACATACAGCATATCTGCATGGTAAAAAGTTAATTTAGCTTGTCACGAACCTACTGATGAAAAAATCTCTAAATTTGATTTTTTTGGTAGATACGGCATATGTTTTTAGGATGGCAGTATATATATATTATTCAATTTTTGGAATACAAAAATATATCACACATAGTGTTTATATAAAGAGCGTTGCTGGGGTTATCATTAAAAAAATATTAATGGCGTCATTTTTCCTACACGAACCATCCTGTATGTTTATTAATTTCGTTTGAAAGAATGGTCAAATGAAAATAAAATTTCGAACGTTTTGTTCAAAAGTTACTTCTTGAATTTTTAACATATTTATCCACTATTTCACGAAAGCACTGTATATAATCCCTGTGTGATATAACTAAATAAGATATAGGGTATCCCATTTATTCAAAATGTGGCAAATTGAAATTAAACAGATATTTTGGTTAACAATACATTTATTCATTACTTTATGACCAACAAAAAAATATAATAAGGGTATTTTGACAAACCCAAGTAATATTTAACTTTGGACAAAAAAAAAAAATAACAGGATAAAATGCAACATACGCACACAATTTTAATTTAACATATTATTAAACATGTTTTTGTTAAATCCATTTCTTGATTTCTATTTTAAAAACATTAGTAATCTATTTCATATAATGTGCTAATATGAAAATTCTATGTGGGAGAAGAATATTGTCCGTTTGCCCTGTATTATACCGATGTTCGTGCGGTAAAAGCTCAATTTTTTTTTGATATATGATAGCAATATTCTTTGAAATTATCGTAATACAATTCATTTGATGGAAATAGAATATTTTTGTAAAACATTCCATTATTATAAAACCTTTAACAAGAAAAAAATTAAATATCAGCCAACAAAACTTACCCTTTCTAGCATTCCTATGATATATTTAGTATCACTAAACGGACCAATATCTTCAAAATATCGACCATAAACTATTGACATTGCTTGAAGACATAAACATTTCATTTCAACTTTATTCGTTAACAAAAATCTATGATATAAATCATTAAAAAATTCGTACCTAAAAAAGAAAATCAAATAATATGGTATAAATTGACATTTTATAACAGTATAATAATTTTTGTAATAAAATCTTATTATATAATAAATTAATTAAACGTACGTTCTACGAATTGGAGAATCATCATCATTAATTTCTAAGAGCAGTCTTAAGTAGTAATCACCAATTTTAACTTCGTCAGCAAGACAGGCATAATTTACTTCGAATTCATGATGGTTCCAAGCAACAAGAGCATGTCCAGCTAGCTCTCTGTCTGAAGCAAAATTTCGAACTTCAGCTTCTAAGGCACTTCTCAATTCTTCTCTGGTCTGTAAAACAGTACAATTACCTCTTTTAAAGAGTCTAGAAACTCATATGAAATGATAAGAATCGAAAGTACATTTTTAAATCTTAACACAAGTTTCCTGAAATAATTAGGGCAAAAATAAAACAGTGTATTTTGCGTTTTAGCTTTTAAATACTATAAAAAATGGTGGAAAGTCCATAACTTTTAAATATTTGTTAAATATCACTTATTAAAATATGATGCATTAAAAGTAAAACAAACTATAGACTTTTCACCATTCTTATCGTACTCTGAACCCATTTTAAAAACAATTTCTTAATATATTATCGTTCGGAGCTGTATTTTTTTTTTTTTGTAAAAAAGTCCCTGTCACTTGTCATTGACAACGCGTTGATCTTTGACTTGGACAGTGGAAGGCGATAAGATCATCCCACTCATTTTCAACCTAACCTAAGGGTTTATTTCTTTTCGGGGTATTAAAAAAATAACGACTAATAACGATCTACAATTATCAAGACAAGAGCTCTGTACGTATGCTATCGAGCAAATGCTTGAGGGGAGAACATTTGGAAGTTTCTCCAGTTCATCAAGCACCATTAAAAAAGAACGTTCATTTAGAGTCAGAAACAGCTCTCTAGTAACAATTGCGAGTAACCCAGGACATTTACTAAAAAACGCTCAGACCCGTCAATTTTTGATTTTAGTGGGAAACATTTTTTTGCCAGTTTCACCCCCTGGAACGGAAACCTTCTAGCGGGGGTTAAACAAACCCCTATAATCTTAAATGGAAAGGTCGAATGATATCTTACTTTGTAGGTATTTTTACCTACAATATAACCCCCGAGTTTTACATCGCTACTATCTACGTAGCCCATACATTTTTTGGTCGCCGTAAAGTAGTAAGGTTTAGTTTATTTGGTTGTAGAGTCAATATAAAAGTGGCATATCAGTGATAATGGTTTACTCAATTGTTGAGAGGGTGCAAATAATTTCACTTTTTTTGCGAACAATGAATGTGCTAATAGAACTGCCCAACTATTTATTTTAATTATTTTTACAAAATTATTCAAAATTCCCCTAAGAATCCATGTATATTAACATCCCTAGCAACACCAGCGCCCCTTGCGGTAACTTGTAAAAGTTTAATTAGAATTCGTTTTTTGGTACCGTATTTCGGGTATGCCGATTCGCCTTTAGTTTTCATAGTCGATACATTTTTATAGACGTGTGACATCTTTCACCTCGTCAAAGTGAATCGCCTTCTGGCTAAATGTTTTTCAACTTGGGGTGCAGGTGGTAATCACTGGGTACCAATTCCGGACGATGTTCCATTTAAACTATTGTAGGATAGCGACGGTTTGACGAGCGATGTATGGGCGAGCGTTGTCGTGGATGCTTACGCACTTGCTCAACATTCCTTTTCTCCGGAAGGCGATTATCTCGACGACGAGGTGAAAGATGATGTTCAACGCTTTGTCAAGGACACGGTAGGGGAGCTGATATAAAATTAGCTTAGAGAAACTTTTCAAAAATTCATCGATCGAGGTGGTGATTACGTAGAATGCATCATTGTATAGAAAATTAGAACCACGATTAAAACATCATTATGAATTATTTATTCTCAACGACTTGCAGTGTGTTTATATTGTTTATTAAAATTATTTAGTTTTCAAAAAAGTAGGCTATTTGTCGTGAATTGTGTTTTAGTTATTTTGTGCTGATTTGCACTGGAAAATAAGGCCCAAAACAACATTATTACTAGGTTTTAAGTTTAACCAAATTCTATTTTTATAAGTCAACGTTTGATATAAACATTCAATAATAATGTATATTATTGATTTGAAAACCAAAAAAGGTTTATTTTTAATTGTTTTCTTTTCGCAAACTGGTGACGTAATGAATTTTTAGAAACCAGTTCCTTAATGTTCGATATTATGCAACTGGTTGCGTAAATTAGATCATTTTGACACTTGCTGCGATTACAAAAAATGTCACTCTATATGTCAAAATTAGAAAAAAAGATGTTTGTATATCTAACAAAATAGAAAACCTTGTTACCCTCGTACTGCTAACCAATGAAAGCATCGTAAAAATGTGTAATACTCTGAAGCAAATATTTATATTTAAATTATAGGAAAGGTCTACATATTACGATTTTTTAAAATAATAAACTCTTTAAGGTTATCGCCTGCGTTACACGTCATATTATGAGAAAACACAACGTTTTACTTCTAAAAATATGGCCGGTTTCTACCAAATTCGCAATTTTTTCGAATTATATGAAGTACTACCTACACGTTATCTTTCTCCCTAGGGAATTCATGTAATAAACCTTTCCGGCCATTTTTTTCTACAGTTATAATACAAAATTATTGTTGATTAAGGAATAAAATAAATTGGTCAATACCAAATATAGCTAGCTTACTTAGGTCAATAGAAGCGTTAATAAAAATTAAAGTTTTAAAAGAACAAACCTTATGATTCCAAATTAAGTTAGGAAGAGCGTGATCTCGATTAAAATTCCAATAAAATAACGGCCAATTCGATTCCGCTTTCTTTCTTTCTCTTCGTCTCCTCAATACAATTGGTCTTTCCTTAATTTTTTCTTCCCGTTTTAAGGTTATGCCAACAGTTGTACCCCAATGTTGCAGCGCAAGATTCGTGTAATGTTCTACTCGTTTTTCCATTAATTTTAATTGCCTTTCTACCGCTACCCAATTTGGATTTCGTTTACTTTTATTTGCGTGATCTTGAGCCATCTTTAAATTATCTCGATTATTGAGCATCTCTTGTTCCAGAGCTTCTTTTGGAATACTATCTTTTGAATCCAAAAAAGTAATAAGTCCAAGAGGCTAAAATGTATAATAGATTTAAGTATATCATTGAAACTCAAAGAAAACGGTAATTATCAAAATACTGTTATTTGAACAAACCAAATGAGTGCAACAAAATAACTTTTATTATAAAACATTTAATATTTTTACCATTATCCTTTTTAACAACCCCATGGCAATAGGATTGCCTGTAACCCATAAACCAATTAAATGTCTTGATAACTGTCTATGAGTCAGTAATCTGCCATCAGTGCCTTGGGTGTAGAGAGAGGCTAAAAGATGTCGCGGTAAAGCGCCTTCAGCTAAAGCTAAATTTTGCATTTTTTCTGCCACTTCTGATTCTCCTTCTTCTATTATTGCCCGCATCACTAAACCTGCGCCCTTTACTATAGCCATCGAGGGATGCTAAAATATGGCCACAATTAATACATTTTTTATCACCTCAACAATTAATCTCCAATAATCATTCTTATTAATACAATTGAAACTTACTTGAAATAAACGAAATAACATTCGACCCCTATCAGAAACCATTTCTAATAGAATGTCGAAATGTTTTCCATCAGTTGTTTCACTATATGGGACACATAATGCAAATGTTAAAAAATCTAACATGGCTGAAACTATCAAAGCACCGGTACCTTGTGCCTAAAAAAAATCTAAATTATTATCATTTTTCATTTTTGTAACTTATGAATTTGACAATCACTTACAATATGAGTAGTCCACATATTTAAGAGGCTTTCAAGAAAAGGTTTGGACTGCAATAATGATGATTTGTTGAGTTGTTCCTGTCTAAGATCATAATCATCGTGCATGGGATGCATAAGGGCACATATAACATCAATGGCAGCTTGCGTTACAGCAAAATCATTTCGTTTTAAAGCTGCTATTACTTTCTGGCCTACGGCTTCTCTGAAACTAGATCAAACAGAAAAGATATATAAAATTTTGTGTTATTAAATAAGTAATTGAAGTTTAGTTTCTGTTATTATACAAGAAACACTTCAAGTTTGATATTTTGACAGTTTTGCTTTTGTAAGACACAATGGGATTCTTATCCCCATTATTTAACACATTTCTCCGTTTCCGATCATAATAAGTGAGAAAATACAAAAAAATCCTCTGGCCGTATGTGCGCGGATTGATAACTCTACACTGAGAGCTCCGATCGACTTGCGGCTTTGACTTTACATTATATGCCGAGGCTTATTTTATTTACTGCGATATAGGTACTGGATGTCACGATTTTAATAGATTGCCCATGTATGTCAACTCTGAAACCACATACATTTTTTTATATAGTTGTTATTATAAAAGTCGAATACAATATTTATGCATTGTAAGAAAGTGATAGATAAGTGAAATTGATTGTTTTAAGCTAAAATAAATGTGGATCTTAGGCGAAGAACATACAGGATGGTGAAGTAAAGATGGAATGTACTTCAACGGCAGTAATCACGCAAAACTCGACATTTTTACACACAGACAGTAATGGATACCTCCACAGCGTCAAACATACTAACAGCAGCTCGCAGCTCACTATGACCGGATACTTATAGGGACCGTGCATCATGACTTTAACACCAACTGGTGATAAAAAAAGTGAACTTTATAGGGGATTTACTAACGTTTTATGTCATTTATTGTTTAGTAATTATTAATTAAATAAATTCGAATTATTTTCGTAATATCATTATCGAAAAAACTTGTTGCATCCGTGGATGTATAAACACATCACTTCGGAAACGTGGATTTGATTCGTTATTAAAGAAATTTTATAAATTTCCACAGTGCACACTTGGTATCTCACACCCAATGATATACATACATAATTACATAAATTGCTTATCCATATGTAAATCATATAGTCTTCATAGTAAATCAGACGAAAATCGTATTTCACTGGGCGAAGTTTTCTTTTTATCTTATACATGTTTTGTATCAATTTTGAGCATTCAGTTGTAAACAAATCATTTACAGAAGCGGTTTAGAAATTAGAATATTTAGTGTTTTCTTGTCATTAAGATTTTTACATATTTAAATGTGCATTTTATATTAATATAATTTTACAGATAATTAAATTAATAATTTATTTTGTTAATTAATACTAATGTAGGGTGTTAGTATGAAATTAGAATGTCCAGTTTGACAAAAATATCATGGTCCTATTTACTATTTATTAACTAATTCTCATTTATCACCAAAATAAACAAACTATACATAAGACATTGCAGTTACTGTCGAAAGAGATTGCAACAAACTTTAAAATATTAAAAATGTAGTGATTTTTTGTAACATTTAAGTAACATCACTCTGAATAATAAATAAGTGTCCAATAACATCTCTTACCAAAGTTGTTCATATCTCATATCGAAAGTTGATTACATTACCTTTTCAAGGTTGTATTACATATTGCAATTATGTGTTTTATATAGTGTTATTTCTAAAACGTGAGTGGTCTAAAATTATTTACAACCATCTGTTTAACTTACAAAATACTTAACATAATATCGTGTCTTGAAGTAAAATTAAATTATTTTCTTTTTCTAAAGATTCAAATGCTGAAATTTTATTTTAAAACACATTTGGTTCTATTTAGTGGGCACTGGGAAAGGCAATATAGCAGCGCGCACTGCAACCTGCTTTTCGTAATCTATTTACAGATTGGTGAGTAATCTATATAATTATGTATATCATTAGGTGTCTCATAAACGTCTAAGGTGCATGAATGACATTTCAACTAACATCAAGCTAAAAACTACATTTTTATTATTCTCTATCTTATTTATTAATTTACATTTTTTAAATGTTATTGTAATACTTTTAAATTCAGTTACTAAATACCGATATTTTGACATTGTAAACGTTGGATACACTTGTTTAAGGTACAACTTTACAATTTATTGTCAATCAGCCCTTTAAATCTTTTTCCTCAAAATTTATATACATATCCAAATTTTAAAAAATTTCACATTTTATATCATTTTGACCATGTACACGATTGTTTGTTACGGGCCGGTATCTATATTTAATAATTTAAAAAATATCCTTTATTATTTACTTGCAATTCTAAAATTAAACACTAGAGAGGGCTAACTCCGGCAGTAGTGCTGCCTCCATATTTCAGGCACGGTCCCTATGCGATCTAGTCGGACGGCGGACTGAGCGATGGGCTGCCCGTCAGAGCACCGATCAGAAACACTGAATAATCACAATTGAATCGGTGTATGCAGAAAGGGCACATGTCAATATTTTCACAAATTGACATTTGACTTAAAATTCGTTTTCTTATGGCAGACACATCAGCTTATGCATAAACGGCACACGTCTCCATCCTCTATATGTTAGAAACATTGATTATTGATATTAAGCGTTATGCAGAAAGGTCACACGTCAGTGACATGTGCCGCTTAAGCGAAATGCTAGTGTTTTAGTTGGATTTATCGAGTGTTTTTCGTACAATCGTATACGATTTCTCAGCTTCTTCCTCGCAATCAATAGGTTAACTTTAAAATATGCTGTTTTTCTTGTTTTAAATATACGTCTCAACTAAAAGGTTATGTTCAAGCCTATCATTTCATTGACAACCTAATATTGCACACGTTTCATTTGTTAGAACCTGGAATGGCTTGCATAACTTTCCCGACGAACATGGCGTATTCGATGAGAAGAGTTCCCAGTATGGCTTACAAAATGGAGCACATAAAAAATGCAGTCCTTGTTTTGCAGAAGAACACAAACTATATTTTGATGCTACTTTTCAGTGGCCTACAACCAACATTCCCAAGATGTAATCCGCAGATAACTAGAACTGTATTAAAGAAATATATAAGGTTTAAAATCTACTAAATTGCATAATTTGCAAAAAGGACCCATGTCAATTTTTTCAAAGTCTTCTAGGGAATGCAACATTAATTTATAAATTCAAAATATTAGTAGACCAATCGTCTAATTCTTAAAATTTGACTTAATTTAATGAAGAAACAGTTTTAATCGATTTCTCAAAAGAGCCTAAGATTAAATGAAAAAAAAAAAAATAACAAGAAAAACTCAGACTCTGCCCGAGAAAACGTCGAGAGGCCGCTTCCCTCCGGAAAACAACTACTCCTCTGATGATATATCTCGACAGGCATTTGATTATATCTAGAGAAAATTATTTTTGTGTTGAAAAAACAGCAGACAGAAAATTATTATATTTTCTTTAAAAAATGTCTTAAAATCGCTTTAAATAACATTGAAAATCTCCCTATTTAATTTAATTAATTTATTATTTTTATTTTTGTTACATTTTATATTTTTTATTGATTTATATATTCTATGCTTTTCTTTATCTTTAAATAATTTGTGTGATTGTCAATTTTAACCCTGAATATACCTGCTAAATAACAATATAAATATGTACTTATGTATATTGTGTTAATTTAATTAATTTTGAATATTGTATTTGTTCTTAAAATGTGCTGGAAATCCGTAAATAAATAAATAAAATAGTCTTACCCCGGTGATTTTGTGAAAGCAGCATAACCCACTTTACTAGCTACTAATCGTCTTAATCCTTGGAATTGAGCTTCTAGTTCCACTAAACTTATAACCTTTGGGTCGCCTTCTTTAGAAACCAAAGACTGGAGTACGCCCGTGATAAGTTTCTCTTTGTTTTCAGAAAAAATACCCTAAAAAATATTTCAAACTCTTTCATAAAAATTAAATGTAATAGAACATATTTATATAAAAGATAAAGAATTTATATTTTACTATAGTTCTCCTTTATTTATTAAGGAAAAAAGTACATTATTATCTAAAAAAGAGTAAACTGTAATAATAAAAGCTTACTTCTTGCGTTACACTATACAGAAGACCACTATATGGAATGTTAGTGTTAAACCTCTTCAAACATTGAGAAAAAGATTTAGTAGGAGGCGGGTTCATAAGTAGTTTCAAGTGTAAACTTTCCGCCTCTTCATCCACTGGGATACTTAAAGGGCCTAATCTTAGACCTCTATCTGTTGGAACCATAGTTACATGCACATCTTTATTTCCTGCAGCTCGTACCCCATCTAACAAGGAAGCTAATAAAGAATCTCTAAAAATATAAATAAAACATGTTAAATTTGCAATTTTTGTTTGAAAGATTGTTTTTCATTGCGAAATAATACACATTCATTAGAAACTCTGGCCCATATATAATATTTACCTGTCGGTAGTAGTGTATTTCCTAGATTGTCCATTCAAATACTCAATGGTAAATAATTGCGGATTAGCATTGTCTCGAATCAATGCAAAAATATTATTCAATGGTTGTAGGGTACAAATACTGTAAGTCTGCGGATCTCTTTCCAATATGCATGCTTCAGAAAGACATAAGGTTCTTCGAACGGGATCAGTGTGTCTTGATTTTTGTATTTTATATACTGAGAATTCTGATACAGCAGTAATACATTCATCATCACTATAATATAAATAATATATTTATAATTGTATACTTTAGTAAATAATGTAACATTTTTCTCTAGAGTTGGGCATAGAATAAACCACTCATACCCAGGGGCTTAAAAAAACGAAAGAAGGGGAAAGGAATTGACAGTTTTAGAATATGTTTCTACCAGGGTAACAAATATCAGGTTTCTCAGCTTGTGCAGTAGGTGGTGACATAACCGTTATTGGAAACATTATAAAGCAATGTTATATGTCAATAAGCATGTTAATACAAGGTTGTTATGAATGACGTGCATTGAATATTATCAATTTGTGCTTTTGTATTGATTTTGAAATTTGTTTTGTAAATTAGTATAGAAGAAAAACATTTAAGTAATAATAAATGGTGTGAAGAATATCATTGTATCCTTTTTCACCAAAGGATTTGTGAAAGTATTGGGACGCAAAGTAAACAGTAACGGTTACGATTAGAGAAACATTTTTAGAGGATTTCAAATCTCTCTTTGCATATTTAAGAGTATAAATAATTCTGAGTCTTATAAATAATTTAATGGTGTACATTTTCGCAAATTGTTGGCAAGGATGACCAAATTCTATTTTGCTCATTTCAAAAAGGTATGCGTTGGAAATTCCAGGCTTAGTTGACAAACTATCAAATAGAGATATAAATATTTTTTCTAATTTGAAAATATAAAAGAGAAATTTTTCTCTGGGAGATTTTAAATTGCCTAACACCTTTTCTTCAGAGTCGTATGCTTTAAAATGCTCCTATACGATGGAATTTTACATCGAAGTGTGTCAATACTATTTATGTTTATAAAGAGGATTTGATTAAATGTCTCGAAGAAATTATGAACACAGAATTCGATGCTCTCAAGGTTAAGATAAACATATCAAATTTTGCAGCAGCTATCTAAAATATTAGAAATAATATAGACACACTAATTCATGAAGAATGGCAATCACAACAAGAACCACAAGAACTAAACTTAAACGACAACAACCAATCAGGTCCAAGTACAAGCAAGAAGAGACGGTTTGTTGGAAAGGAGGACCCCATTCCTAATTTAAGGATATGTAAGGAAATTTGTGATACAATAGTATTGCAGGTAAATGAACGTTTTAGTTTTACTACCCACCTAACAATTGCAAGTTTATTTGATAGTGAAAAATTTAAAGACTACCAAGGTTGTTTTCCAAATGAGGACGTTAAAACTGTGTGTAGTTTATTTCCAAACGTAAATAGCTTAAAATTCAAAAACGAACTGTCCATACTTTACACCCGAGATGACTTTGTGCAACACAATGGTTCCATACCGTTATTACAAATGTTTCTTAAGAACAATTTGACAATTACATTTTCGGAATCTGTGGAGCTGCTAACTATCCTGTGTACAATTCCCATGACCACAGTGGAGTGTGAAAGATGTTTTTCGACACCAAAACGTATTAAAACATTTTTAAGGAACACTATGTGCCAAGATAGATTGTGCGCGTTAGCCATGTTATCCATCGAAAAAAACTTATTCGGTCCATTCCAAATTTTAATAATCTGGTCATCGATCACTTCGCTAGCCAAAAATCCAGAAGAATGGACTTCAACTATAAGAAATAGTATACAACTGCAGCGGTACCTAGCAGTTAGTCTTCAATTTTGTAATATTTAATTTGTTTTGAAATATATTTACTTTTCATTAAGCTGAGAACTTGTTTTCCTAAGGGAAAACGAATTCCGGGATTCCTTTCCAGTGTGTGCCCCACTGCCGCTAGTGCCCACGAACCGCCACTGCATTCAGTGATAAAAATGTATATACAAAACCAACGGATGTTAATAAAATATCGCAGTAGCTATATAGTGAATATTATTTCTACAGTTTTACCTTTTAAAATCATTTACTATCAATAACTATCAATGATACGTAGGTAAAAACATAAAAATTAATATAGGTAATCAAAGCGTTAATAAAATAGGTTAAAATAATTTACTATGGCCAAAAATAACTATCAATGAGACGTTGTTCAAAGCATAGCAATATTATCATTTCTTGCGGTTACATATCCTGTAAAAATTCAACATATTGTTAGACTGAGTTGTTTAATATCTATTACGTATTATGAGAAAAAAATATATATACAGGGAAATATCTATCTAAAAGTATAGAGTGTAATAAAAAAATTAATTATAAAGGCTACCGAAAATGTTTTAAATACATACGTTTTGAAAACAGAATACATCAAAAATAAGAAAAAGAAAATATCTGTAGACGATATGTAGATATCAATACCAATGCAAATGTAAGTTTTCAGTCGACAAACTCTTATATATTTTTTCTACGACTAATTCTAATGTTAGATTTCATTCAAAGTACACCAACAAGTATATTTTTCTACGGTCAATGCTGTTTTCATTCAACAAACTCTATGAACAGAGATATGAAGAGTATAAAGGACGTCAGATATCTGTAGATATCAATACCAATGTTAATAAATATAAGTTTTCAATCGACAAACTCTTATATACTTTTTGTACGACTAATTGTAATGTAAAATTTTTTTCAACAAAAGTACAACAGATATTTTTCTACGGTCAATACTAAGTTAACATTTAACAGACTCATGCGATATGAAGAGTATGAAGGACTTATACGAGAATATTCGTAACAAAACATGGATCTTAAATCATATTAAATGACAGATGCATCTTCAAGTATCATTGTCAAAATAACAAGTCTATATATATATTTACTAGAACCTTTTTCGCAGGAAGTCATTAACGTAAAACAGAATCCTTCGTATCCTGCGGAATAAAATCATCTCAAAACATGAATTTACCTTAAAAGATCAGTTATGGTAAGCAGCATCCTACATATATTAATGATGTCAAAATTTATATTAGCAGAAGTCTGGTCAATAACAAAGTACTGGAATGAATGGTATTTTTGTAATCACTCACAAAATCATACATTTTTTCATTAATCCTAAAAATATGATAACAGTCATTGAAGCCGCTTATAAATACTAATCATTTACTTACACCTAAAAAATATACGTCTGTCTAATATCTATTAAAATATAGAATTAAACATTTTTCACTTTTTCTTCTATTTACAATTATTATCAAATATATTAGCCTCAGTCAGTGTCTCTTTATATTTTTACGGTTTTATACCCTAGCCTCTAATAATGACACAATTTTGAAAACAATATTATTTTTATAATTATTGCATTAACGATAGGCAACCATTTTTACAATACTAACTAAACATTCAAAAGGGCATTCAAAATTATATTATTTCAGTGGTCCGATTTAAATGGAACGCACCAATAAAATTATTTCAAAAGTATTTAATCAATAAAATTTCACGATGTTTATATACAGGGGGCCGTCAAAAGAACACTCCGCTAATATTCGAATGGAACAAACGACATTACGTAGATTTGGCAATAAAACCTGTATAATAAAACATGTAATATTATTTAGATGCAATTAATCTTTATTAATGATAATATTGGATGAAAAACATCAACCTTTATACCGTTAGTCATTTAGAATCAAAGCTAATAAACTCGTATCCACCAATGGTGTGATAGTATACATCATATAAAAGCGGTATAGAAACATCGAACAGAATCCAAGTCATGATGTAATAATTTAACTATTTCGTTGCAAAGTCTTGATGATAGACAAACGTTTTTTAACGTTTTCGACGTTTTTAGCGTATCGCGTTCAACGTATTAAAAAATATCAATATTGTCGCTGATAGTATGTCATTGTTGCTGTCAAACATTTACAACAGCCATTAGCTTTTGCCACAGCTATTAGTCCAGGATCCGTAAGTAGGGTCGACCTTCACCCATCTGTTTAATGGATAAAACTTATTTTTATTAAATAAAATATGTTTTTAAATATACCGCAAATGGGTTGCCTAAGAAAATACGGTCACGGCCATTTTTACTTTCCTTTTTGTGTACAGATAAGTAAAGTATAAAAATCATGATAAAAGTTGTTTATGATGTCATTATCTATTATTTTGTTTCTATACATGATTTTCCTAAAATGAACCTAATTCGAGATATTTGAGGAAAAGTGCAAATTTCGAATTTTGAAGACAACTCAAAAACGGATAAAGAGAAAAACACCAAATTTTAAATTTAAGCTTTAATCCATCCTGCGGTGAGCTGACTAAAGTTTGGGCATAGTTGAAGCATCTGGGGAATACTTTACAGGGTGTCGTTTTTTTTACTTTAAGAAAAAAAATAGTCTGGACCATATTTTCTTAGGCAACCCATTTGCGGTATATTTATAAATATATTTTATGTAATAAAAAGAAACTTTCATCCATTAAACAGATGGGTGAAGGTCGACCTTACTTCGGATCTTAGACTATATGGTCTTTGTTGGTATTATCGCCGCGAACGAAGGTTAGATTAGAAGACATACGTGCGATAAACGTTCACGTGAACGAAGGTTTGGTTAGAGGATACACGAGCAACATACATTCACTAGCTGTTTAAGTTGAATAATGCTTGTTCCATTCGAATCGGATCAATAATAGCAGATATTAGATTAGAAGGACATACATGCGTTCTCGTGAACGAAGGTTAGGTTGCAGGGGCATACGAGAAATTCATTGAAACTTAAAACGTAAAAATGAAAAACGTTTCGTTTGTTTCGCATGACGTTTTCGTTATACTCTTCATATCTCTGTTGATAGAGTTTGTTGAATGAAAACTTAGCATTGACCGTAGGAAAATATACTTGTTGGTGTACTTTGAATGAAATCTAACCTTAGAATTAGTCGTAGAAAAAAAAAATATAAGAGTTTGTCGATTAAAAACTTACATTTATCAGCATTGGTATTGGTATCTACATATCGTCTACATATTGCCTACAAATATTTTTTTCTTACTTTGATGTATTCTGTTTTCAAAACGTATGTATTTAAAACATTTTCGGTAGCCTTTATAATTAATTTTGTTATTACAATCTCTATACTTTTAGATAGATATTTCCCTGTATATATTTTTGTCTCATAATACGTAATAGATATTAAACAACAGTCTAACAATATTTACAGGATATGTAACCGCAAGAAATGATAATTTTGCTCTGAGTTGAACAACGTCTCATTGATAGTTATTTTTGGCCATAGTACATGATTTTAACGTATTTTATTAACGCTTTGATTACCTATATTATTTTTTATGTTTTTACCTACGTATCATTGATAGTTATTGATAGTAAATGATTTTAAAAGGTAAAACTGTAGAAATATTATTCACTATATAGCTACTGCGATATTTTATTAATATCCGCTGGTTTTGTATATATATTTTTATCACTGAATGTATGCGGTTATTGACCCGGATAAAATTTTTCTAACAATACTTGAAAATTGACCAGAAATACCTTGAAATATTATTTTACAAAATTATGATGTATTATTTTTTTCAAAATTTGTCCATATTTGTAGATTTACAAACTGATAACGAAACTCGTATATGGCTGTCATCTTGGATCCTGCGGATCGTCGACTGTCTGTCTAAAGATAACGAAACGCCAAACAAAAACGTCAAACGAAATATCAAACATCAAACGAAACGTCGATTTTTCAATAACAATAACAAAGATATGTTTTATGCCCTTTTGACCTGTCACTGCGCATGATTTTTCTCTTCAACGTTCATGTAAACCACGTTCTCTACATAATGCAGTTTTTTCCGTTTAAACCAACAATAACAAAGATATAAGTTTTAGGCCATTCCGGCTTTCATTCTGCGCATGATTTTTCTCTTCAACATTCATCTATACCACGTTCTCTACATAATACCGTTTTTCCCGTTTGAATCGGACCAACAATAACAAAGATATAAGTTTTAGGCCCCTCTGGCTTTCGTTCTGCCCATGATTTTTCTGTTCGACATTAACAGAAATTTAATCCCCCACTCCCACCACACCTCCGTTTTACCTTCAGACCGTATCTCTCACTCTTACCCATTGAATCTGTACCTCCCACTCTTACACATTGAATTCCCTATGTGGGCCCATATGAACGTTGTCTATCTACTACTAATACTAAACTATCAATGAGGGGCATCGCAATGATATAGCCTAATATGAACTCCTGTTTTCAATTATATTAAGACATTATATAGTGCTGGCAAGATAAAATCTTTGGTCCTGCTTTGATTGTGTTGAGAGTGAATAGTACATGTAGAAAAAGAAATGATACAATAACATTGTTACCACACTCTTTCCTCTCTTGCATATGCAAACGCCATTTGCTATTTACTCTAACACCAGCAAAACAGGATAAAAGGTTTGATCCTGCCAACAATTAGTGAATTTTTTGGAACATTTTCAAACAGAAACCATGTTTTGTTTCTCTTAAGGTGTGCCTCTATAGTTGAATACAACTATAATTAATACTGGTACGCAGCACCCTGTAGCGTGCTGCGGTCGTCATAAGTAAAGTACGAGTAAATGAAGAAGATAGAATAGTCCAGAAATGTCATTCCTTGTCAAATAAAAGTCCAGATTGTTCGAGAAGGTTCTAGAAGGTCGAGGCAAGCTATATAAGTCGACGACCTGACGTCAGAGTTTCAGTTTTATGATAGACGTTAAACGTTAATGTTATCAGTTGGATAATTATTGTTAAAGTTGAACTGCAGTTATTGTAAAAGTTGAGTTACAATAAATTGTGATACCGAAAACCTGCGTAACAATATGTATACCTTTCAATTATTTTATCTATACTAAAATAAACTCTCATTTATATATTAGTCCATATTTACCTAAATTTTCCGAACCGCTGATTCTGAAAATCTTCTACTGTTATGGGCATACTCAAAATTTTAATATTTATTCCCAAATTAGTTGTTGCCGATTCCAGGATTTTCACTTTAATATCTTCATACTCTGCTGCTTGAAATAAATGCAACCTGCCAAATCCTCCACATACTACCACAAATCCTCCTTAAAACAATTTTTTTTAATAGGACTTAATTTAATAAAAATAAAATAAATATTTTATCAACTTTTTCGAAATTCTTAATCTTTTTTTTTTTCAGTTTGGATTGATTTTACTATATTACTATATTGTTAATTTTTTTGTGTTACAAATATTCAAGATCAAATCTTCGGTCTTACTTTATATGTGTTAGTGTGAACAGTAAATGGCGTTGACATGTGCAGCAGAGGAAATAATGTGGTATCGACGTTAACAGTTACTGGTCGACGGTCAGCAGTGACATAACTGTGAATGGCAACTTCAATACTGTCTTTTTTCCTGCATGTGCGAGCACCATTTACTATTCTCCAACACAAGCAAAGCAGGGCCGAAGGTTTGGTCTTGTCATCACTATATACATATATAGTACAATTCACGAAAAAAGGTAACAGTGTGTTGGCAAGAATTGGTATTGCTTTTGGGGCAAGGCCAGAGATAACAGGAGATGTAGCTATTCATTGATTAAATATAATATTTATGATGCCAAGATTAATTCGACAGTCCATACGCTCCACTTGTAGGTCCGCAGAGAGAAGACGTGAGGTGAGATGTTAGAGAGGTGATAAAGAGAAGGATTTTACGGCGATACAACATTTGTTTATCAATAAATAAATGTGTCAGCCAGGTGTAAGCGCTTGTCCGCTTATAATAAACAACATAGAAATCCATGGCGGTGTAAGCCCTGTTGCCACATCCAACTTAACATTAACTAGGTTTTTTTATTTATTTATTACACGGGAAACACCCATTATAGAAAAAAAATTAATATACGATAGAAAAATATACAGTGTCTAGCCAAATATTTATATACTAAATAATACAAATATTTACATACTACAATATTACAAACCTATTTAGATCTAATTCTATTTTTTTAAAAGAATATAGATTGACAGAAAAATCTATATCTAACTCATTTGCCTTTCTGACCATTCTTGACAAAGCAATGAAAGGGCACAATAAACAAGTCTTTGTTTCTCGTACAACTTTGAGGAATACGGAACTGAATAAGTTGAAGCATGTTGCTGCAATGAGTTAAACCCAAAATCAAGTTAAATAACAAGGTCAACAGTTCATTTACGAAATTCCAGCGCTTCAATGATCCCTGTATATCCTCATGCTCATATTCCCCATGTCTTAATCCCAATTTGTATCCACAGTATCTTAAAAACTTATTCTGAACAGCCTCAGTTGAAGAAATATGGATATTGTAAAAAGGTGTCCAGTTGGGCAACCCATATTCGAGCAGGGAACTGACATGCAGAATATACTACTTTGAATGAATTTATCGAGAGACCACTAGAGTTTCTTAGTATAAATCCAAGAGTTTTTAAAGCTTTACCAGTGATCTGATTAATATGTAGGTTAAATGTCAGATTCTCATCGACAAGCACTCCTGTCTTTTATCTCAGTTACTCTATTGAGGACTGTATCGCAAATAGAATAATCAAAGATTATTTTGTAGTGCAACCTACCAAATGTAATCGTGTAACATTTAGAAATATTAAGAAGAGCCATACAATTTTTCACAAACCAATTATGGAGAACTTGAACATCAATTTGAAAAAGAAGACAATCAATTATATAACGAATAGCCATGCAAAGTTTTAAGTCATCTGCAAAAAGTAGAACCTTGGCATATTTAAAAATACTACCAATATAATTGATGAATAGTATAAACAACAATGGCCCTAAGTGAAAACCATGTGGGACTCCAGAAGGCACCACAATGTGGTCAGAAGTACTGCTGCCAATATTCACTATCTGGATCCTACCAGTTAAATAGCTTTTTAGCCATGAAATAAAAGGATCAGGAAAACCTAAAAGATTAAGTCTGTATAATAATAATGAATGATTCACACGATCGAAGGCTTTACAGAAGTTAGAATAAATTGAATCCACCTGCAAATTGACACCAAATTGAGAAAGAATATCCTGCTGATAAACCATCAAATTTCTAACAGTTGATTTACTTCTGGAAAACCACGTTGTTCATCGATTATCAAATTATTACAGTAGGAAGACAGATCAAAGACAATTAATTTTTCAAAAAGTTTAGGAATAATGGATAACATACTAATAGGTGCCTGTAATTCTGAATATCGTTTGTGTTGCCATTTTTGAAGATAGGAACCCCATAACTATTTTCCCAGATGTCTAGAAAATATTTTAACTTTATTGAGGAAATAAATAGTAAAAATAATGGATGAGTCAATGTGAAACTACATTTTATCAGAAAGAATGAAGGAATTACATCTGGTCCATGGCTTAATTTATCGTTAAGGTTTAGTATACCTTTAAAAACTTCTTGCACCGAAAACTTGATAGGAGGAATATGAAAGGTGTTATTAATATCTAAATAATAATATTTGATAAGTCTACTATTTTATGACTGTAAGTACTAGAAAAGTGTTCAGAAAATAAAACGGCGATGCATTGGGAGATATCACCTGCCTTATCATTTAAGAACAATGCCAGGACAAGGAAGAGTTATTTTTTAAAGATTTATAATAGCTCCAGAAAAATTTGGGATTAACATGGATTGTGATGTCCACTCGAGATAGGTAATTACTGTAACATTGTCTAGATAGGAACTCACACTGTACCCTTAAGTTTGAGAAAATACAGTAATCATTGAGGATGCATTAGGATTTATATCTTGCATGTGCTATTTTTTCTCAGTAATGAGATTCTTCAAGTTCGCTGAAAACCATTTTAAAAAGTAAGAGCTATTAAATTTTTTAAGTAGAACAAAACAATGTATTGCATTGCTAATTATTTGGTAAAAGTTATGAAGAGCTGAATCTAAATCAGCATTTTTAAATACCAAATAATATTCATTAGATTTGAGTTTTTCAAACGAATTATCGATATTAAGTGTTCACAGGTCAATAGGTTCAACCAAAACTGTGGATTCAAAGCTTTGCATATAATTCGACTATTTAAGGTTATAAAATGAAAAAATTTCAGATACTGTTCTTGCTGGATAGTTGGCTGGACAATCCGATAACATGCCATGGTCTTCCAAAGCCATGGTCTTCCAAAGCCATGGTCTTCCGAAACCATGGTCTTCCGAAGCCATGTCATACGTCCAATCATGTGGTAGGTTGTAATCACCCATAAGATACAAAGAATTATTAGGGTATGAATCCCTAACATATTCAACAGTGTGACAATGATCACTGTAAATATCAACACTGGAATTGGGAGGAATTTAGACACCATTAAAATTATCTTTTCAATTTTTAATAACACAAAGATTTGCTCAACCGAGGTGCAGCTTAAGCTTATATTAGTAGAATTAAGGGATGGTTTTATTCCAATTAACACTCCACCACCACTAGATTTATAGCTGGTGTGAACATTTCTATCGCAGTGAAATATTGAGTAGCCTAATTCGTTGTTGGAAAAATCAGGAGTGAGCCAAGTTTCAACCATCATGGTCATTGCATAAAACTGAATGCCTTAGGTCTAATAGTTTGGTTCGGATACCATCCACGTATTGGAAATACACATTCAATTTTTGAGCACTCATATCTAGTGTTTTTGTTGAATAGGGTAAACCATTATATTTTAAAAATAAGTCTTTCTCACCATTATATGAACGTTGCTTAAGCTCATCCAAAGCTTTTTTAACTGAGTTTGTTGAAATTTCATCTAATTTAGTTAAATTTTATATAACTAATGATTAAAAATTTTATGGGTTCAGTTCCAACAAAATAGGTTGAATTATTTTAGTTTTTTTAAGATATGTAAATAATTGTAAATAAATAATGAATGTAAATAATTTTGTAAACAAAACGAGAATAATGAAAGGCATATGACAACAGCGATTTATACCCTGCTGTGTCCCTTAGAATATGTATTATTCACTGCAGCACGATATTTGTTAGTAGCTATATCTCCTGTTATCTCTGGGCAAGGCAGTGTCTCTTCCCAATTAACTTCCAGCCACAACACAATGCCCAAATAAGAATTAACCTGGAATACTATTCACACATATGAGGAGCTACAGAACTTTACATTTGTAGTTGAAGATCTATAGTTGCTTTAATAATCTCTCCTATTCCGAATTTTCCTCCATTATCCCACTATTAGTCAGTACTTCACCTCACAACTGTTCTTAGTCCAGAATTGAAAATCTACAAATTATTAGATTGTGTTGCTTCACGCTTAGAGTGGTTAGACTTTGAGTCTTTAAGTTTTTCCTAATCAATTCAATCCGTTAGGACCCACATCAAACTACCCCTACAATCACTAAACAAAACGTTCAGCAAACAAATGTTTTTGTTATGGACACTATAAAAAGTATTCATTATTTTTTAAAATCTAACTAAAATTATTAATTAAAAAAATACAAAAACTTCCTAAAAGAAATAATATAAATGGTACTTTGAATATTAATAATTTTATTATTTTCAATATAGAACTAAAAAAATGTGCTAGCAATGCACATTTAGGCGGCTCATTTTTATCAGTTTTAGAAGTGGATATCAGCAAATTTTTCTTTTAACTATTTTTAAATGATAATCAAAAGTACCTGCATACTTTATACTTATACAGGGTGACAATTTAACTAACAATCTTATGAACTAAAGATGATATCAGAAAATGCTTAAAACTGTTTGGGAACTTAAATCACAAAATACAGAAGTTACCCCATAAATTGCTAAGAATAGTGTTTTATTTCCGTTTATTGCTTGATTCCTTTTTGACATTTCTCTAAAAATAGTTGGAAATGGTAATGTAATGAAGAATAATATTTGTATTATGATAAATCAATTTAAAATTCACCTGCTTGTTTCATTGCATTTTTAAGGTCTGCTGTTAGTAAATTGACAGTCTCCAATAAATTGATATTTTACTTGATACATTTTTCTAAATATGTAATTAAATGCAATCACAAATAGATTCGTGTTGGTAACATTATGAATTGTATTTACACTTTTTTTTCTGTATTGGAGAG